CCTGGAAATGCAGCACTGCACACAGCATGAGTTATGGTTTGTGAAACACTGTTTTAAACCAGTGGAAACTGAAATTTTCTATTGTAGCTGTTTTGGGTGTATTTATTTTTGCAGGTACTTTTCATGTGTGTGTGGTTTTTTTTTTTTTTTTTTTATAAATACTATGTAGTCATTATAGAAAACTTGCAACATAAAGAACACAATTACTTATTACCTCATCACTCAGAGATAACTGCAGTTTACTTTTTAGTATATTTTTTTTATAATCTCTTCTTTCCTTTATATAGTTAAAATGTGCCTTTTAAACATATGGCCTGAACTTTATAAACAATAGCTTCAGCCAACACTACATTATCAGCATTTACCTATGTATTATAAATTCTTCAAATGTATAATTCTAATGGCCAAATGATATACCATTGTATAGATGCACTACACTTTATTTAACAATTTCTCTATTGCTGGGGGTTTTAATTGGGAACATTGGAAGGGGTTATGAGTAATATTTGCATACACACACACACACACTCTTAAGGCTGTGTCTTCATTTCTGATTATTTTCTCAGGATAAATTCTTAGGGAATTGTCAGGTCTTTTGAAAGGCTTTTAGTAATTGTTGCCAACTTACCTTCCAGAAGTGTTGTGAAAGTCAAGCTATTGATTGCATGGGATGGTGTATGTAGATCACTTGGCATATAGTGGGCTTTCAGATCATGGAATATGCTATTATGAAGCCATTCAGATGTGATTCCAAGGGTTTTGTGGCCGGTTTATGAAATCGTGTTATGATTTCTATTGATTGAAGGCACTCGTTCAGAGGCCAGAAAACATTTGACATCATCCTTAAAGGTCTTGGAGTTGTATGAATTAGTTTATTGTTCACTGGTGATTAAGATCAAAATCTAATCTCTAGGGTGCTTCCTGGAGTGACTACCAACAGCTGTGCCACATCTGCAGATTATTAAGCCCTGTAGCTGAAGAAATTATCTGTCCTGTTGTATGCCTTTATAACTGTCAAAACTTGAATTTTGAGCTTTGTAGCCTTTGTGTTGGGTGTTTTGAATGGTGGAAAGCATCACCAATGCCATTGTCGAAACTCATTTATTTTGACTGGTGGAAATTTGAACTCATGGTCTGATGGATACTCATATTAAGTTAGAAAATCGTTCAGATTTATTCTGGGGCTTAAGCTGCAAAATAATTGTCTTTCTTAGACTCTTAAGCTTATTTTAACAAAATGAAATTAGTTCTTTCCGGCAATGATAATATTATCTAAGCTTTTGTTTATTTCATTTGTGTCCTTGGATTAAAATGGAACATACCTGCTGCTTTGTCATTGTGAAGAATGTTTGCTCCTAACCCACATTTTCCAGTCTAGTATTTTTAGGAAGTTGGGGCAGATAGCAATATTCCATTACAGTAGTGATTACCTGGGTCTTACGTTTTTATTGTTAGATCAGGGTGCCCTCCTTTAAAATTAAAATTATACGTCTCCTGGAGAAAGACTGTGCTAACTGAACAGTGGGGTGGTGTATGGCCTCTGTAAAATGGGAATCCAAAGAGTGAGGAGTTGGTAGTGTTTCTTTCTTCATGTTCAGGGCAGGGGATACATTGGCAGTGGACACTCCTTTGATCCCCCTGGTGAGTATAGACCCTTAATGGTGGTAGATGGCCTAGTAGCTCTTGTTAAGTTCACCCAGATAATTTACCAGACCACTTTGGACTGACTGGGAAAGTTGTATGTGGTACTTCATAAGAGTATGGGCTTTAAAGTCAGGCCCATGTTGTTCCACTCCCAGTTCTTTTTGTAATCACTTTGTAGCTTCAGGTCACTCATCTGTTTCCCTGTCCATAAAATGGGGCAAATAATGCCTGTCTCTTAAGATGATTATGAGACTTAAATGAGAGGATATGAGGGTTAAGTAAGAAACTTAAGAACCTAGTGTGATGCTGCCACTTCATAGACATTCTCAGTGGTAGCTGGCTGTCTACTATTTTAATAAGGCTTTTCACATAGCATTTCCAGCCTAAAGAGAATTCAGTGATCTTGTGGATAGGAGCATTCTGATTCTCCTGGTTTTGATTTCTTGTAGATAATTAAATGTTCTCTTATAAGTATAGTTAGAATATGTCAACTATGTATCTAAATATACTGATTGTTGAACTTCTGAGATTAGGCTTTGGACCACTGGTACCTTCAGTTTGGTGGCTTCACAATGTTGAGGCCACCTAGTGGGAACAACCTGCATGGCATTGCTCTTGGCATGCCCCTTTTTTCTTGCTGCACCCCTCTACCTGTAACACTTGTCATTTCAGGCTTGCTTTTTCCAAGCAATTCTACAAGTTATAAAATGACTCTTGGGTTGTATTGCAAACAATCTGTTGATTCTGGTGTGTTTTTACTGTGAAATAGATACTTAAATAAGAGAGTGTGAATAAGTTGATAGTAACAGTTGCACTCTCTTGTAACATGTTTTAAGTTTGCAGGTGAGGGAAAGAACTAAATACTTTTCTAGTCATGTGTAGAATGTATAAAGTATAATCAGACCTACAGACTCGGCAGATCATTTTTTGCTCATGCCTAGAACTTTTTTTATTTTGGAGAGAACTAAATTCAGTTTCCTGTTAGTTCTGTTCCTATTTCAGTGCAAATTCTGAAAGCAGATATGACAGATCTTTTTTTTTTTCCTGTTTAAATACAATTTAAATCCTGTGTTATTTATTTTTTTGTTAATCCTCACCCAAGGCTATTTTTTTCATTGATTTTTAGATAGAGTGGAATGGAGGGGGTGAGAAAGAGAAACATCAATGGGAGAGAGACACATTGATTGGTTGCCTCCCATGCAACCCCGGTGGGACCTGGGAATCAAACCTGCAACCCAGGTACTTGCCCTTGTCCAGGAATCAAACCCATGACACTTCGGTCCACTGGCCTATGCTCTAACCACTGAGCCAAGCTGGCCAGGGCTAAATCCTGTATTTTTTAGGTTCTGTGTCAGGCATTCGTAACTTAAGAGGACATGTGAGAAAACACTATAAAATGGTAGTGTGGCAGAGACTTGGAAGAGACAGCGGTGGTGATGATCTAGCCCCACTGCTCGCCTAGCAAGGGAGAAATGGGAAGCCTGGACCAGCTGAGTGACGGTCCCCTGTCAGAGCCAGGACAGAACTCAAGTTCCTCACTTTGCACGTGGCCTGGTGAAAAGCGAATCCTCAGTAAGAAAGCCTTTCAAAGCCTGAGTTTATCCTGAATGCCCCTTTGGAGTATAGTGATGCAGGGAGGTTTTATGTTCCTTCATGGTAAAATTATAGGGTTGCCTCTGTGTGTTCCTGTTCTTTTCAGAGCACATTGTTTCACCTATTTTTAAGTGCTCAGGCTTTCTTCAATGTGATTGCACATCGTAAAAATATATCTTTTTAATTTTATTTATTGATTTTTAGAGAGGGAGGGAAGGAGAGACAGACAGACACATCAATTTGTTGTTCCATTTATTTATGCATTCATTGGTTGGTTCTTGTATGTGCCCTGACCTGGGATCAAACCTACAACGTTGGTGTATCGGAACAGTGCTCTAACCAACTGAACTACCCAGCTAGGACCTATAAAAATATTTTTATTATTTATTCATTTATTTATTCATTTATTTATTTATTTATGGTACGTGCCTCTAGTGGGAACCAAACCTGGAACTCTCTGATCCGCAGGCCGACGCTCCAACCGCTGAGCCAAACCAGCCAGGGCTATTCCATCTGTTTTAATTGTTCTTTTCAGAATGCCTTCCACTTTTATCTTCCAGTCATAAATGTGAGTGATAAAATTTTGGGGATGGTAAAAAAGAAAGAAAGAAGAATGCAAGAAAAGTGGGACTTGCTAGTATGCAAGATCATTTTTTAAAACGGACACATTGGGTCCTGGCCAGGTGGCTTGGTTGGAGCATCGTTCTGTACATCAAAAGGTTGTGGGTTCAATCCCCACTTGGGGCACATACAGGAGGCAACCAGTCAGTGTTTCTCCCCCTCTCTCTCTCTGTGCCCCTCTCCCTCCCTTTTTCCTCCCTCCCTCTCTCCCCTCCTCTCTCTAAAATCAGCATATCCTCAGGTGAAGATAGATAAATACATGCATACATACATACATAAAGGACACATTGGGATGTAATGTGCAATGTGATAACTAAAGTTAATAGTGTATCATATATTTGCAAGTTACTGAGATAGTAAATCTTAAAAGTTCTCATCACAAGAAAAAAGATTTGTAACTGTGCAAGGTGAAAGATGTTAACTCACTGTAGTAATCATTTTGCAAAATTCACGTATCAAACCATCATGTTGCCTATCTAAAACGAATACAGGCCTTTATGTTAATTCTATCTTCCTAAACCTGGAGGAGGGAGGAAGCAGGTGCATTATTTAATAATATTGTAGTTTGCATACCCAGAGTAAATTATTCCCATTTCTCTCTCAAAATTAAATCAAGTGTTATCCACTGCTTCCATAGATTCATTCATCCTTTCAGTCAACCAATAGTTGGACATTATTTATCTGACAGGCCCTGTTCTAGGCATTTTGGATATGGCAAGCAAAGCAAAGTCCTTGTCCTTAAGTAGCTTACATTTTAGTAGGGTCAGGAGGACAATAAAAAAAATGAATGTACATGTTAGGTGAAGGTGATTAGAACAGGTCTCTGAAGAGGTAATGTTGGATTGGAGACCAGAAATGACTGGGGAAAGAACATCCCTTGGGTAGAGAAGAGTAAATGGAACAGCCTTGAAAGGAAGTCTTTATCTGAGAAACAGTAATTGTTATGAGATCAGGTCATGGAGCCAGCAGCCATTGTTTGGGCCTAGAGGTGATGAGGAGGGACTGGCTTTTATTCTAGGTGTGATGGGAAAACTTGGGAGGGTTCTGTGCAGGAAGTAACGTTATCTGATGAAGAGGAAAACTACACTTTGCTCCATGGTATTTCTCAGTGCTTTGTACTGTTACATCTTTTCTGGTTGTAGATTGTCTATGCTGAAAGACCTCTCACAGACAACCACAGGTCACTGGCGTCTTACGGCTTGAAAGATGGAGACGTTGTGATTTTACGCCAGAAGGAAAATGTGGACCCTCGACCTTCAGCGCATTTTCCAAGTAAGACATCTCAGAATCGGTTCGCATCCACTGACACGAGCATGAGTAGATAGCTTAGCATAGTGGTTCAGTTTTGGATTAGCTTTTAATTCAGACTACTAGGGTACAGATCCTCACTCTGCCCCTTTAACTCAGCTCCTAGAGTTGATGTGAGAATAATCCATGTAAAACCTTCAGCACATAGCGAGCCCTTAATAAATGTTAGCTTCTGTTATCAATGATAATTTTATCCTTGGGAAGGACTTGAGAGGCTACATATGCCAGATTCCTGGCTGACTCGCTATGTTGCATCTGGAGTTGAGTAGCAGGTCTTTGCAGTCAGCCAGGTACCTGCACTGACATGTCACATGATCTCTCTTAACTCAGATGTAGGAGAAGAGAGTCCTCTTTATAATTTACTGTCATTAACAGACAAGAGGAAGGGGGAAAGAGAGAGGGAGAAACATCAATGTGAGAGACAAACATCGGCCCATTGTCACCCTAACCAAGAATCGAACCTGCCCCCTTTGGTATACAGGACTACATTCCAACCAACTGGCCAGCGCTAAAATTCTGATTTTAAATAATGTCTTCTAAGTTACATAGCTAATAAGGGAAGGTATTGGAATTAAAACTTGGTGCTTTTTTTCATTACACTGAGCTTTATGAACATTAAGCAGCTTTCTCACCACCTTTGTTAATTATGTAAAAAGGAAGTGTTATTTATCTTTAATGCTCCATCCAGAGTAAGTGTTTATAATCTGGAATCTATACATTGCAATTTAGGGAGTTTCTGTGTCCCCAAAATAAGCAGAATTGTGTAGGGTGGGCATTAAGTGGGAGCAAGACTCATACCTTGCTTAATATACTCCTAGGGGTTTATGATCTACAAAAGTTTTATAAGGTTCTGACGTGGAACCAGTTGATGAAATGTGTTTGTTTTTCTTCATTCCCTATCATATCCTGATAGGTTTCTTTAAACAGTGTTTAGTCTCTAGGTCACTTGGTTTTAAAATTTATGGTAACAGCTGATAGGCGTCCAGGTGATGCCAGTCCCTAGCTTAGAACACAGTGCTTCCATTCAGCCTGGAACTGGGGCTCGAAGAGATCAGGGTTCCTCCCAGATGTTATCACATTTCTCCCTTGGGGCTACTGCTGAACTTCAGGAAGAGTACAAATATGCCGGTCAATAAAAACCAAATCTTCCTTTGATCAATTTGGTGAGCTTGTTAGTTCTGGAAATGTAACTGGTTTTTTTCTGTACCATCTCATATGGATAAGAGAGCCAGTAGGTGAGGGAGAGGATGGCATCTGGTCTATAAGGTAAACAAGTTTTTCATAATTATTCTGGAGTGAACAGATTTTCAAGATAAGTGTAACAGTGTTGGAGATAAAATTTCTCAACCCACAAAGAAGGCCTGCCCCATATGTATTTTGTTAATTGGTATATTTTCCCTCACAAAGATCATGCCATTCACTTCACCTTTTCATTGGTTGGAAGTTCATACACATGCATACACTACTAGCTGCCAGCTGAGGTCTGTTTGAAGAAAATGACTAGTTGAGCCCATGCTGAGAGGCAGAAACCTTAGTCTGAGCTTAAGCATTCCCTCCTATTTGAGCTCCAAAGGCTTCAGGATAGCCCTAGGGTGGGACAAGTGTGACCATCACATACATTTTGAGGTTGGAGAAATGTGGATTCGTTCAGTCCTAGCCCCTCATTCTGACTCTACTTGTCTTTTCTTCTTCCTTTTTAAAAACAAAACTATTTTTATACAGTAGCTTTATTGAGATCATTCACATACCATGCAATTCACTTATTTAAAGGATGATTTTCAGTATATTCAGAGTTGTGCAACCATCACTACAATCAGTTTTAACACATTTCATCACTTTTTTTTTAATCCTCACTTGAATTTTTCTCAAATATCTTCAGATAGAGTTGGGAGGGCGGGGGAGAGACAGAGAGAAATATCGATGTAAGAGGGACACATCAACTGGTTGCCTCCCAACGACTCTAACCAGGGCTGTGGATGAACCGCAACCGAGGTACATGCCCGTGGGTGGAATTGAACCCCCACTACTCTTTGGTCCGAGGGCTGATGCTAGACGCTGAGCCAAACCAGCCAGGGCACACATTTCATCACTTTAAAAAGAAACCCTGTTAATCCTTATCTGCCCCCAAGCCTCCTAGCCCTGACAACCATTAGTCTACTATCTGTCTCTCTGTATTTTCCTTTCTGGACATTTCATATAAGTGGAATCATACCATATTTGGGTCCTTTGTGTAAGGCTCCCTTTCATTTTACTTTCGTTTTAATAAGATCAGCTCCGCCTGGAGTGTGGAACCTGGGAGTTGTAGCCTCTAAACCTGTTATATCTATTGGTGTATTCAGCACTGGGAACCTGTGCAAGTTATTTTTTCTTGTTTTTCTCTCTGGTAAAACGATTACACCTGTCAGCTCCCCAGGGCTTGGAGAGAGGTAGGTAGCAGTGATGCACAGATGGAAGTGTAAATCTGAAGGGCTAATATGTTCAGCACAGACTTGTAGAATTTAACATCGAACATTTATGCTGTGCACTTGATATGTATAGTGTTTTCTGCCCAAGGTGTCAGGGTCTTTAAAGCATATGTCAAAGCAGACCAGGGTTTTTCTTATGAACCACATTACTTTTTATAGTTACATTTGAGACCAGCTTTAATTTTTTAAAAACATCTATGCTGTGATATTTTTATAAGCCAAAAATTTGGGGTTACTACCATAGTCTGCTTCCCTCCACTTCTGTCCTCTTTGCCCCTTGTTTACTCTCAGACTGTCTTTGATTTCAAAGTCAACACGAGAACCTCGAGCGAGAGCGGGGCATCCGAATGTCTATGATTACCACTTACTGCTGTTACAAACCAACCATATATGAGCACATGTTCTGTTTCCTTCACGTGCTTGCTTTTACAGATCATTTAAAGTAAACAATCAATTTTCCCCAACAGACTTACCCCGAATAGACTTCCGTAGTATAGCTGTGCCCGGCACATCCAGCTCCCGGCAGCGGCAGGCACCAGGAGCACACCAGTCCCACTCATCTCCCGGAGAAATAGCTTCATCTCCTCAGGGGTTGGACAATCCAGCCTTGCTCCGAGACATGTTGTTGGCCAACCCCCATGAGCTGTCCTTGCTGAAGGAGCGCAATCCACCCCTGGCAGATGCTCTGCTCAGTGGAGATCTTGGTAAGCGAAATCTGAAAGGCTGTCAAGCTGACCGGAGGTAAAGTAGCTGTATCACAGCAAGTGTGGAGAAATTCACGCAACTAAACTAGTGTGTTCAGCCCACTGTGTCATATGATTTATTGAACATAGATCATTTTGTCTATGAGAGGTAAGTTAGTGCTAATGTCAAAGGCTGAGTAATGGACAGTAGTGACAGTTTTAGGGATGCATAGAGTTCTGAAGTCTGGCTAAACCAGCCCCTTCCATTTACATTTTTTTCCTCATTATTTTAGTAGTACATAACCCAGGTACTGATGTTTTAACCTGTTAGTCCTTTAATTAAAGAGAGCACCGGCCCTGGCCAGTTTGGCTCAGCAGTTGAGCGTTGGCGTGCGGACCAGAGAGTCCCAGGTTCAGTTCCTGCTAGGGGCACGTACCACAAAAAAAAAAGAGAGAGAGAGAGAGAGAGAGAGCACCAATAAACCTGTTTATGCCTTTTTGTTATAGGAAACAGGTTCAACGCCTTTAGCCTATGTGGCAAAATGCATTTAACAAAACATTAATTGTTAGTCAGCTTTATAAGTAAAGTTTTCTTTGTAAATTTCTCCAGTTTTCCTCAGGTTTATAAAACTGTACTGATTAAGTTTTAAAACATAACGGGTACTTAAGGCATTTCTCAACAACCATTTTGCAAATTGAAGTAATTTTTACTATAGAGAAATGTACAGATTTTAGGTATACAGTTCATGGAGTTTTGGCTAACTCATGTATCCACCACCCCAGTAAATACCTAGAATATTTAGCCCTGACCAATTTGGCTCAGTGGTTAGGGTGTCAGCCCTTGGACCAAAGGGTCGTGAGTTCGATTCCTGGTCAAGGGCACATACCTGGGTTGCAGGTTCGATCCCCAGCCCTGGTTGGGGTTGTGTGGGAGGCAACCAATTAATGTGTTTCTCTCACATCAATATTTCTTTCTCTCTCTCCATTCCTCCCTCTCTCTCCCCCTTTCACTCTTTCCAGAAAGTTATATCAGGTTCTCTTCCATTAGTTTCCTCCCCTTATAGGCTACCATTGTTCTTCTGATAATCATTATAAGTTAGTTTTGCCTATTTTTGATCTTCATGTAAATAGAATCATACAGTATGCCCTGTCATGGTAGGCTTCTTTCACTCAACTTAATGTTTTTAAATCCATGTATATTATGTATATTTTTGCACATGACCATTATCTTGATTTCTTTCATTTCTCATGCAGCATATTTAATTATCAAAGACCATGACGATGGCACATTTAAGTTTACATATTTAAATGCACCCCCATTTAAGAAACAGCAAAATAAAGGTGATTTGTCTAACATATAGCAAGCAATCTTTCCTCTTTACTAATTTTCCTGCCTATTACCCATCAAGTAATGTAGATAGGCTAACAGTAGTTTGCATTTTATTTGTGCTTTAAGGCAGAGTGTTAGAAAGGAAACGAAACTAGAAGAGGAAGAGGGGTTTGTAGTGTTCTGTTTTATTTCCAGACAGTAGAATTATAAGAGCAGTGGGGAGGGGACGAGTGGGGTCCTTGACCTGCCGCGCAGATATCATTCCCAGATTGACATTGAGAAATTGTGTTATGTCTGAGTAGAAACAGTGTGGTGGGTGACTTCTTATAAGACTAAATGATTTTCCAGATACTTTATTTCTTTATACTCAATTTAGGTGAAGAGGTAGTCTTGCCTCAGAGAATAGAAAGTAAATGTAATTGCTCACTTAATTTTTAGGCATCTTGTTGTAGAGTGCTGCACCTGAAATCTGTATAATTTTGTTAACCATTGTCACCCCAATAAATTCAATAAAATGGGGGGGAAAGGAGTATGAAATGAAGAAAATTAATTTCTAGGAAACTTTTCTGCATCTTTTATAGTTATATTTTGAGAACTTATCTGATGTGGAAAAGTACTAATAAGGAATGAAAATGTAGTGGTACTTAAGATTTTCCCTCCTTTTGTAGAGAAATTTTCTAGGGTCCTGGTGGAGCAGCAGCAGGACCGAGCCCGGAGAGAGCAAGAAAGGATTCGTCTCTTTTCTGCTGACCCTTTTGATCTTGAAGCTCAGGCAAAAATAGAAGAAGATATAAGGTAATGATGCCTTCGCCTAAACAGCAAGAGTTAGAGAATGGAAACTTCCCAAACTACAGGCTGCCTTGTATTAGTCAGGCATCTGCTTTGAGGTAGATTCCTTGTTTTGCACTTAAGATAGTAAAGACACCCTGACTAGCCCACAGTGTCATTAAAACAACTGCAGGTGGATGACCCCAGGACTAAGCAGAAGCCTCCAATTTGGTGAGACTGCTAGGCTGGCTATACAGGCTAGTTGGAACCTCTCCTTGGACATACTATGTGAGCCCTGACTAAAGCCTGGGCTTGAACGTGATGGATGAGGAGAGAGAGCTCTGTACAAATGAAATCTTGTAGTCCTAAGTCTTTTTCCTTCCGCAATTCTTGTTCTGGCCTCTGGGTAAACTGCCTGCCAGACAACATTTCCAGCTCCAGTTCTCCAGTGCTGTGGTTCTCACCTGAGGCTACTTTAAAACCACCTTATGAAGCTTTTAAAAATGCAGATACTTGGGCTCCACTCCCAAATATGATGAATTCAGATCTTAAGGAATGGGGCCTAAGCAGGTACAGTGATGCTGATGCCACCTTGGTCACATTACTAGTCAAGCCAGATGTTGCTCAGTCAGTCCCTTTGAATAAAAAAAAACAGCTGCTACCCCTCAACACCACCACCCTCGTTCAGTTTTTGTGGTTTATTGTGATGGTTTTATTATAAAGAAGACCATAACTGTACCAATACTACTTTTATAGGGGCTTTGTCATCATCTTTGGCTGCTTACATGAAGCCAAAGTTGGTCGTTATATTTTACTGCCGACTTGGAAGTTAAGTAATAGTTTTCTTTCCTATTTCTCTGACTGCATTTGAAATCAAAGAAATGTAAATTGGACACCAGAATCACTTGACAGCCCTAAGCCATTCACTTGTGTTCTTGTTAAATGTTCCCATTAATTGTATCAGAAATGTTATCAGAATTAATGAATATCTTTGAGAAACATCTCACTAGTTAAATCTACCCAGAGAAACAGGAACAAGCTTGTATTCTCTGAACTAGACTGCTTTATAACTATAAGGGAATCTTACATAATTCTCAAGAATAATCACAACCCAGAAAGCAGGAGGCGTGGGAGGGAGTGTGGTGAGGCATCATGGCCAAACCATGGCACTGAACTAGTGGAAGAGCAGAAATGAAATGAGGCATATCCCTGCACCCAGGGTAAGGTAAAGGAAATGGGGTAACACATACATTCCTTCCAAGGAGAAAATCTAGTACCTCTAAAGAGACTCTATGTACAGAGCCCAGAACAGCCAGAGTAACTGGTGTTATCTCAGAAGATTTTTGCTGTAACTTAACCTTGGTTGGAGTCATTGCAATATCAGGAGTGCATAGTGCACGACTAATTTCAGATTATTTCTAAACTTAATAATGTGCAAAGGGAAAAGCTGTGTGATTATCAAATGTCTGTTAAAGTTTTATTTGGTATTCCCAGTGACTGCACTGGGAATGTGTACACTGAGATATAATAGCTCACACGTTTGCCTAAGTTAAAAAAGTGTGCCTTTGATTTTCTGAGAAGCTTAATATTTTAATACAAAATGGCTGATAAAACCGTCAGTTCATTTGAGCTAGAGTATCACTATAGAACGGACAGTTTATTATTATTATTATTTTCCTTTATTGATTTTAGAGAGAGGGAGGAAGAGAGAGAAACATCGATGAGAGAAAATATCGATTGACCGCCTCCTGCATGCCCCTCACTGGGGATTGGGTCCGCAGTCTGGGCATGTGCCCTGATTGGGAATCGAACCGGCGACCTCTTGGTGCATGGGTCAATGCTCAACTACTGAGCCACACCAGCCAGACCAAAAAGGACAGTTTAGAGCAGGGGTCAGCAATCTTTTTCCATTAAGGACCAACTAGTAAATATTTTAGGCTTTAAAAAAAAAAATAGCTTAGGCTTTGCAGGCCACACTGTCTCTATGGCTGGCACTCACTTCTGCCAGGGTGGTACAATACAGCCAGATTTAATACCAGTATATAAATGAATGACGGGCTATGTTCCCATAAAAGCTTATTTACACAAACAGTGGGCTATAGTTTTCTAACCCCTGGTTTTTGGTGTAATTTATCCAAACCTTGGACCTTGTTTTGTTACTGTCTCAGCCTTCAGGTAAGTGGCCTAAACCATGGCCTTGTTTCCATTAATTCTGGTCATATTTGGGTTTGTTTTGTTTTTTTTTAAGCAAGTTGAGAATGGAGACCTGAGATGCTAGAGTCAGTTGGAACTCCCTTTTTTATGCTTTTCCTGTGTAAGAATTAGGATGTTCAGTTTTTGAAGAAATTATTTGATGACCAGGTGAACAATAATTCATGTGTGTGTGTAGTTTGCTGAGTGGTAGCTGGGTAGGTAGAAGGACTTCTTTTTAGTGTTTCTGAACATCTGCTCTTATGTTGGCATTGTATAATGATCTTTCTACCTCTCAGCAGTCCTATAATGGGAATCATCCTCATTTCACAGATTAGAAGACCCTGTCTTAGAGATCAAGCAGCAGATGCAACACAAGCAGTCAAGACATCTGCATGTTATATTTGCAGACAATTTGCTATGCACTGGACATAGGACATGTACCCAGATAACCAGTAAATCCTCACTTAAAATAGGAGCAGTCACGAAATTCTAACATTCTACAGGATAAAAAGGGTTATGACCCTTACTCTCCAGAAGTTTCTTTTTCTGTTTCTGAGCTTATAAAGGAAACAAACATAGTCATTTTACATGAGGGTAATTTGTATACCTTTAATCTTCTGCTAACTGTGTAGCTCACTGCCTCCTACTAAATCACAGACTGCAGGGTAGCGCCCCAATCTCCATTTCAGTGAGTCAGCTGCTATAGTTGGGTCAAAAGATATGTACAAATCTGTTTGTAATGTTGTGACCTTGAAACAGATCCCTCTTCATGGAAGTAATGCTTTTAGTTAAAAGTACCTGGTTTTGGTTTATTACAGGCAACAGAACATTGAGGAAAACATGACGATAGCTATGGAAGAGGCCCCGGAAAGTTTTGGCCAAGTAGTGATGCTTTATATTAACTGCAAAGTGAATGGACATCCTGTGAAAGCCTTTGTTGACTCAGGTGACGTCTTTCTCTTTTGTATCTTTGTCTCTCCATCCAACATTCTGACCTGACGTAGGTTGGAGGGGAGACCCTGGTGTTCGTTAAAGATGGCATTTGTTCTTTGGCTGGCTAACCAGCAAACCTGGGGTTACTGTTTCACTTGCTGATCTTTTCTTACATGTGATAGGTTTGTTTCTTGAATCATTTCTTCACCAGTTTTGTATTTGCGGTTTCTCCTTTATCTTCCTGCTTCCCTTATTTGGCATCCTGAATTCCTAGGATACCTCTAAGGAATTGAGGAGTCGTTGGGTTTAGAAGGGGCGGTAAGAAGGAGCTGTGTGCAGCGTGGGTGAAACCAGTGTTTCTGCCTGGTCTGTGTGCCATCACTTTGCCAGGAGCAGTGAGTGTAGGATACAGGGCAGGGTTCTTGCCCTGAAAGAACAACAACCAGGCAAGGAGGCAGGGAGTTTTGAGCTTGAGGATTCAGATAGTCCTTGTACTAACTGTCACCTTATCTCTCAGTAATGACTCTGCTTTTTAGTAAGACCACACACGGGTAGCACCATGTGGGTGTGACCGTGGTCTCATGTCTTAATTCTGGGTATGACTCCCTACAGTAGAAAAAGCTACTCAAGTTAAGTTTTCTTCCATTTGTTCATCCACAAATACTTGAGCACGTGCTAGGTTTCACTATTGGTAAGTTTGTTTTAAGATGCATATATTCCTGGGAAAAGTAAACTGCTGATAATTCCGTTTTTTAAATGTCTGTTCAGTGTTGTGCGCAGGGCCTTGTGCCGAGTGCTTGGGGGTAAAACTTACTAACTGGTGCTCCAGAGGACTCCTGTGAGTGAATTAGACAAATACATAGGAGACCCTAATATAACACTCAGTGTTTATTGAGCCCTTACCGTGTGCCAAGCACTGTGCTAATTCATGCTAAATTAACTAAGGTGCTTAATATATATCATCTTACTCACTTTTACTTAATCCTCAGTGTATCCCCCATCAACTGTGTTCTACTATTGTCTCTATTTTATAGGTGAGGAAACTTAGACACAGAGAGGGGAAGTCACTCTTCCAGATATACAGAGTTCCCCAGAAATAGATTTTGGATTCAGCCTGGTCTGCTTGATGCCGAACTCTTAACCACTGTGCAAAAATCATATGCGTATTGGGTAAACATAGAAACCACATTCTCTGACTGGGATGCTCGTGTGGCTTTAAAAGAGAGGGCATTTGCCCTGGCCGGTTTGGCTCAGCAGTTAGAGCATTGGCCTGCGGTTCAGTGGTTCAGAGAGACCTGGGTTCAGTTCCTGCTAAGGGCATGTACCTTGGTTGCAGTTTGTCCCCGGCCCTGGTTGGGTTGTGCGGGTGGCAACCACTCGATGTGTCCCTTTCACGTCGATGTTTCTCTCTCTCTCTTCCTCTCTCCCTCCCACTCTATCTGAACAAAGAAAAAAGAGAGGGCATTTGAACTGAGCTGTCTTCACAGGCAGAGAAGTGGGGCTTGGAGCTGAGACCTGAGAAGAGACAGGAGAGCGGTGAAAGGGACCCTTCTCATCCTGGGTTGCTTCCTGCACATTAGTAACTAGCTTTTGTGGAGTAAAGTAGGGAGGGGGGAAGAAAAAAGAAAATTGCCTTCCCAGATTCCCTTCTTCATTATTTATGGGCCTCTTGAATCTAACCTTCCTTAAATTCCAAGACCTTCCAGTGCTCATAAAACAAGGTGCCTGATGAGTAATACGAACAGGAAATGTTGGGACTGAATTTGAGGAGACATCGCTGGGAAAGGACAGTCATTTGGGGAGGAGGTGGACCTTGAGCTGGGCCTTAATGCATAAGAGGAATTAGAGAAAGTGGAAGCAGGGAGCGGGGTACTCTACGGGAGGGTCAAAGTGAGTAAGAGGCAAAGGGGACACACTCCTCCTGGTAAAGTGGAGGGTTTAGAGCATTTGGAATATGAGGCTGTGTCTGGGACTGTCTGGGCTGCCGTAGCAGAACACCACGAGCTGGGTGGCTTATAAACAACAGAGATTTATTTCTCATAGTTGAAGCTGGGAAGTCCAAGATCAAGACGCTGGAAGATTTGTGTCTGGTGACCACCTGATTCCTGGTCCATAGATGGCAGTCTTCTCCCTAGGTCCTCACATGGTGGAAGTGGTGAGGGAGTTCTCTGGGGTCTCTTTAGGGACACCGACCCCTTTCACGAGGACTCCACTCTAATGACCTAATCATCTCCCAAAGGCCCTACATCTTAATATCGCGTTGGGAACTAGGTTTCAACATGAATTTTGGAGGGATACAAACATTCGTTCTATAGCAGCTGGAAATAGCGTGGCCCAGATGAGGTGGGGTCTGAAGCTGTGGTGATGTGGGTGGTTTGCAGCTGGTCTTATAAAGAGTAGGAGCCATTGAGGATCTTTGAGCAGATGAATACGTGATCTGAAGAAGGAGATTTTTTAGGAAGACAGAGACAGTGTCAGATCTGGAGAATTCTATGCCACTATGGGTCAGAACTAGTTCCTTGTTTTAAATTATATTTCCACAGAGTGGTTTGGAAAGCAGAGAAGTTGTCCATTAGCAAGGGGAATAGAGTGTGTGCTAGGCTGGTTGCTGTGGTTGGAAGGAGGATCAGAAAGAGCAGAAATTGTATAGAACTTATTAACAGGATTGGACCAGAGTTTGAGAGTGGGGAGAAGGCTAAGAGAGTGGGGTCAAAAGTAAACAATGCCTAAGTTTTATAATTGCAAGAAAATAATTCCATTGGCAGGAAGAGAAATCCAAAGTGAGAATTATTTGGGAAGAAAGTGTATACCTTCTTGGCTTTGCGATAGACATGTCCGACACACAGGAGTGTGAATGAGTCTGGGAGAGATGAGCATTGTAGGTCAAGACTGGAGGGGTTGTCTTCCCACAGCCATCTCCAGCTGTGGCGGAGTACCCGTCACGGCGAGAGGAGAGCCCGCACCGCCCGCTTCCCGGGAGGGAAGAGTCTGACTGTTGGAGCAGACAGGGAGTTCACTTCCAGTTTTTTTTAAGAGACTGTATGATGTATTTTTTAACTGGTAAATTAGAGTGTCCTAAAGTTTGGAGTAAAAATAACCTGGTGAGATGTTTAGGGATACTCTGTGAAAACGGATCAGAAGGTAAAGTAGTACTTAGCATTTCTATCTATAGACAGTTTGACTTTTTGAAAGTTTTTTCCAGGTAGTTTTGCTTCCCGTTGGGAAAGTTTTTAAATAATCATTTAATTACTACATTTAAACAAAATATTCTTACCCTCGATGTCAGGTATCGACACAGCTTCAGATTCCACTGTGGAACTGAAAGTTAAACTAAGTGTGGCAGTAAACCCTAGGTAGGAACAATGTTGCACAGACAAAAGCCTGTACTTGCTTTCTGCCCTGTTCTTAGTGCTGCACTTTCAATCTTACCTTAAATGTGGGTTTTGTCTTTATTATCTGATATTTCCCTCCACCTCCAGGTGCCCAGATGACTATTATGAGCCAAGCTTGTGCAGAAAGGTGTAATATAATGAGGCTGGTGGATCGTCGGTGGGCAGGGATCGCCAAAGGAGTGGGCACCCAGAAGATTATTGGAAGGGTACATCTAGGTGAGCGAAAGGCACTGGGAGTCTTTGTAGGGTAGTGGATTTAAAATTTTTTCTCTTGGACAGGTACGTCTGATCCAACAAGCCTTAACCCTAAAAATTTAAACTCTCTATTAAAGTCATACCTATATGCATGTTTTCGCTGGTGGCAAAAATCATCAGTCCCCTATGTACTTCTGTTTTTCTGCTCCTTATAAATAATTCCTTTCCACTATTTTAGCAGATTTCTATTGGTGCTTGCCTCCACTTTCTAAATAGCATGTTTATAGTGCTGTTTACTGATATAACTGTATAAATACTATTGAGAGCATAGCCATCTAATTGAAAATAATTGCTTTTCCTCTTCTTGGAATTAATAATTGTCGTTGTTGTTGTTGTTGTTGTTTTGTTGTTGTTGTTGTTGTTGTCATTGGGTTTTTTTGTGTGTCACTCATCCCAAACACGTACCTGGTTGTGTAACTCTCCTTGCTACATTTCATCCCATGAAGATGCTTCTCCAGAGCCTGGCTGTTAGAGTTGCTTCATTTGTAGCTGCAGTTTTGGACTCTCCCTTGACCGGGTCCTGGAGTGTCTTTTCCTTGGTCTAATGTCAGACTACATGAATCCCGTGTCTTCCTCTTTTTATTTTGCTCCTCAGTTGATTAGAGCACATCTTCCAGGAACTTCCTGAGAAAAAGTGCATGGTAGTAAATTGAATCCTTAAATATTAGAACATGTCTTTTTTTCCCCTACATTCTGCCAATCTGGCTAAGTTTGAAATCATTTTTCTTCACAATTATTAACAGTATTGCTGTGAAAAGCTGGCTGCTATTCTGATTCTTGATCTTTTATGGGAAAATTTCCATTTCTGAAGGTTGTAGAATCTTTACTCTGACCTCAGTGTTTTGAAATTTCACAGTGATGTACTTGGGTGTAGCTCTTTTTCCATCCAGTGCGTGGGTGCCTTTCAATGTGGAAAATGATCCTGAGAATGAGTTCCCCCGTCTCAGGTGTCTGTTATTCAGGGAGGATGTGATCTCCTATACTGGACTTGTCCTGTAGGTTGCTTTTTTTCTTTCATTGTGTTCTTGGGGGGGAGGGTTTGGTGAGATTTCCTCAACTTTGCCTTCCAACCTTTCTGTTATGTTTTGTATTTTTTTGTCTTTCGTGTTAGATGGTTTTCTCAAATGTCTGGTGATCCTTGGCATCTGCTCATGTTGAAGAGAGGAACACCAAAAGGCTATTTGGAAGATTACTCGGGTGGGCAGCCATGGCGGTTGTGGGTGATCTGGAAGTTAAGTCTCAGTAAGCTTTCACTTAATCCCCTTGGTTTTCGTTAGGTGCTTGTGTTGTGTCCGTGTCTTTCTCCATGTCCACCTCTATTACAAGAGCCTCTGTTTCACTCTCTTGAGAAAAAAACCCTTTCAGCCTGCTGTTGAGGTAGAGGGAGGTACTCACCTGGCTGAGCAGAGTGCAGGAGAGGAGCCCCAAGATCTAACTGACTGCATAGACCTTCAACCATAGACTTTCTGCTTTGGACCCACCTCTACCCCTGTTTTCAGAGGTACTTGTTTCAAGCAGTTTTTCAGCCTCTGGGAAGTTCTGTGATGTTAATTGGGTTGCTTCTTAGTTTTCCTTACCGTCATCTGCTTCCTGTTTCCACAATTGTATTTCACTTGTCTCTTTCATTATTTTTTGGCCTTAGTGATTTTATGCTCATTGTAGAGAATTTAAAAGTATAAAAATGTAAAACAAAGCTAAAATACCTTAAGTCCTTTTAGGTGAGAATCAACCATTAATAATAGCATTTGGACATGCCTCTTTTTGGCCTTGGTTCCATGTGGTTTTTGTTGTTGTTGTTTAAGGTGGTCATATGACGTATAGAATTGTATATTCTGCTTTAAGAAAAATTAACATCCATAACGTTACTATGAATTTCATAAGCATCATTTAAGTAAATGAGCAACAGTCTGTTGTATAGGTTTAGTGGTCAATTTTTGGGATATATTTTTCCCCCCAGTATTTTGTCATTGTAACTTGGCACTGGATTTTTGTGTAGTTTTGTATGCACTGATTTTTTTTTCTAGCCCTGGCCAGTTTGGCTCAGCGGTTAGAGCGTCGGCCTGCGGTCCGGAGAGACCCGGGTTCGGTTTCCGCTAAGGGCACGTACTTCGGTTGCAGTTTGTCCCCGGCCCTGGTTGGTCGTGCGGGTGGCAGCCACTCCATGTGTCCCTTCACGTCGATGTTTCTCTCTCTCTCTCCCTTCCTCTCTCTCCTTCCCACTCTCTCTGTACAAAAAAATGGAAAAAAAAATGTCCTCGGTGAGGATAATTAAGATTTCTATAAGTACTGAATTAAAGGTTATGGATACTTTAAGACTGTTTGATACTGCTAACTGGTACCAGTCTGGTTTCTCCAGCACAGAGTGAATATTCATCTCAGTGTCCTTGTGCAATCAAGTCGTATTAGTTTTTACTTCTGTAATTTTCAGATGAAGCGGTTTCCTTTTCTTTCATTGGCAGTAAAGTTTTTTCTACCTAGTCTTTCTTTTATACTTCCTTTTTAATATATGTGTCTAGTTACTAGCATCTTCTTATTTTCTTTTACTAATTTGTATAGAATAGGACTGTTTAAATACCTTACTCTTGTATGCTTTCCTTCACACAGTAGGACTCAAATTGAGTAGGCATATCACAGATTGGTTGCTTCAGAGTCTGAGGTCTTAGATTTTTCATGGTTTTAAGTGAAAAGATACTAGAAAGAGACAAAGTAATACCAGTCCCTTGTGTCCTTCCTTGTAAACGGACAAGTACTATTTTGCAACTTTGGCTCTGGTCAGCATGAAGAAACCCTTTTAACAATAGGAGAGCTGTGCCATGGATAGAAAGGCTCAATCTGTTGAAGATGGTAATTCTCCCACATTTATCAACAGAGTCCTTGTTAATACTGTCCAAATCCCAATAGGTTGTATGAGTGTGTGTGCGCGCGTGCGCACACTAATTTTGATGTGCTAATTTTAAATTTTATGGGCTCTTTACGTCACACACACAAGTCAATTCAAGGTTGATTGAAGACCTAGATACACCCAACAAGGTGGCTCAGTTGGTTGAACATCATTCTGTGCACCGAATGATTGCCAGTTCAGTTCCTGACCGGGCATATGCCCGGGTGTCAGGCTTGATCCCTGGTCGGGGCACGCACAGAAGGCAGCTGATCAATGTCTCTCTCTCTCTCCCTAAGCATATCTTCAGGTGAGAATTTGAAGGGAAAAAAAGGACCTAGATGCGAAGGCAGAGTCAAAGCTTTTAGAAGAAAACATAGGAGGATATCTTGCATAGGGAAGGGGTTCTTTCAAGATAGGAAGGAAATTATTTGATAAATTCAGCCACATTAAGGTTAAGAACCTTTCATCAAAAGACATCATATAAAAGTGAACAAACACAAGCTAGGAAAGAATTTTATTAATACGTATAACTAATAAAGGATTCATATTCAGAATATACACATATTTTGTGTGTGTGTGTGTCCTTCAACTTGGTAAGAAAGACAATATAAAAAATTACATAAGTACTTTCAGAGGAAACCCAAATGGTTAATAAGTATATAAAAAGTCGCCTAACCTATTATTCAAGGAAATACAAAATTACTTAGATTAGCAGGATTTTTAAATCTGACCGTATTGAGAGTTGGTGAGGATGTGGAGCAGTGGGCTTTCATGCACTGCTGGTAACATTTTAGAAAACCACTCAGCATTACCCAGCAAAGTTGAGCCTAATGTCCCCTGGGACCCTGTAATTCCACTTCTTAGAATATCCCTTAGCGAATTCTTGGCACACCAGGAGACAGGTGCAGAAGTATTCATGTTTGCATTGCTGTGACAGCAGAAACTGGAAGTAACCGAGCAAGTCCCATAGCTGTGGAATGGCTACGTCAACTCTGGTGTGTTAGACGGTACATGCTCTGAGGGGTGTGGAGAGCGTAAGACACAGGCACGTACATCTACAGGGAGAAAGTATCTCAAAATAGTTCTGAGTAAAAGAGTACGTCGTAGTTCAAAAACACGAAACAACAATATGTTGCTTGGAATTCATACAAAGCTGGTGAAAACTATAAGAAATTCTGGGAGTAGTTAACATAAAACCCAGGCTAGTTTGGGAGGGTGAGAGGAAGCAAAGAAGCTGTGATCAGTAGGACGTGTAGACTTCTTAGTTTTCTGTTTCTTAACTTGGGCAAGAGATGCGTCGGTGTTCGTTTTATTAAGCTTTATGCTGTACATATGCTTCATATACTCCTATTTATAAGATATACTTAATAATAGCAAAGTAAAATTTTAAATTGTACATATTAAGTAAAGGGAGTAATTGATGAAAAAGTTAAGGCAGGAGGCTCCAGGCAAACACAGGCCTTGGTGTGGTCTCTGGTTTGGCAAATAGAAACTTCATTATCACAAGCAGTAATAAACCGTTTACTCTTTGGAGGCTAATTTGAAAGGTTTAAAGTACAGATTTTATTTTGCTTTTCGAAAACCTTTTGTAAGTATATAGGAAGTGAGTGGTTTATTGGAGGGATTGGTCTTTTTTGTTTATAATCCACTTTACCAGCTAGTGCCTTTATTGGCTTTTAAACTGATTATTAGTCTTACAGGATTTTCTTTTTATGTTTCCCTTTTTGCATGCTTTGCTTTGCTTTTGACTGATTTTGAGAAACAAGGCACAGAATGAAAGATTTCCAATGTTTGCATTGGGCTTTTGAGTAAAAATCAGTAACCTCTTCTCTTCTGCATGTTTTAGCTCAGGTTCAGATTGAAGGAGATTTCCTGGCGTGTTCCTTCTCTATACTCGAGGAACAGCCCATGGACATGCTTCTGGGGCTGGACATGCTGAAACGACATCAGGTAATTAAGAGCTTCACTTGCTGTTTGCATTGGTTTTTTTGTATGCTATGTGGTTATTATTGCATCATTTCTCTTGGCTCTGTATACTGGAGACTAAGAAGCATGACTCTTCAAACCTGGAAAGGTCCTTAATTGATGATGATGTCATACAAGGTTTGAAATTATATGTCAGTAGAAACAGAATGTTTTGTGAAATCTCTCTGAATCTTACATCTTGCCATCTGTTTTGAAATTAAAATTGGCAGTGGTTCCTTTGTGTAATTTTTTAGTTTCTGATTAGAACTTAAGTAATTTTCCTATGGGTTTGTAGGGAAGTGTGGATAACCCAGTGATGATTTTATGCAAGTGTGAGCTTAGTAAGTCTTTAGTAGCTGGTCAAACAATCCTTGGGAAGAAGAGCTTCATGATTAAGAAGATGTACGTAAGATGTTGGGAATGAAATGTTTATTAGTACAGGGAGAATGATTTATAACTATATTCACTTGCACTGATGTTTATATTTCTACTCCAAAGCCTAATTATTTGTTTAAAAAGAAACAACTCCATTGAATAAGCAATTAATGTCCACTGGGTAGTGGAATTGTTCACAACAAGGTTTCATGTCTAGCCAGTATTTTTATGACCCTAACCAATATTTTTATGTTACTAATACTCTTTAAGATTTTTTAATATTAAATTTCTATAATATTGCATTGATATTCTAATCAATGTGTAGAATTTTAAGTAGAAGGAATGAGTGAATGCATGTGTAAATAAACCTATTTTATTGTCACTATGTTTCCTTATTTATTTATTTATTTTGGTCACAGTGTAGACCAGGTGTCTCCAACTTGATAGATATAAAGCATATACATGTGTAACTGTCCTATATTAATTATAAAAATACACAGAAAAGTGTGAAATAAAGGCTAGTTTTGTAGAGACTGCCTTGCCTTTGTACCATGTATGAGACCATCAGTCCAGAGTTTAAATGTAAGCTATATTTACACAGAAAACGAAAAGCAAGATGTACAACTGTATAAGCGGTATGTCCCAGTTTTATAAGGAAAAAGTCACTTACATGTTTGTAAAAGGTGGAGCTAGTGACTATGTCTGGCATTTCTCCAAATTTTGCAAAATGAATGTGTATTACATTTAAATTTTTAAAATGAACATACATTGTTAGACAAATAAATGTGAACTATATTCTATAGAGATTATTCTGTTATAAACTTTAAATAATAAACAAATTCTAAATTAACAGTGTCACCTAGGTTAAAGTTTAAATACTTTTAGGCAGATTTGTTTTGAACCATCTCTGTCTCTGTCATTGTTGCTCTTTGTGAATGGAGTTTTAAATTCAGGATCATAATTTTTCCACGTGGTGTTTTATCTGCTATCATCAGTTTTTGGTTTCTTCCTCCTAAGTGTTCCATTGACCTCAAGAAAAATGTACTCGTGATCGGCACCACAGGCTCACAGACCACCTTCCTCCCTGAGGGAGAGTTACCAGAGTGTGCCCGGTTGGCATATGGGGCCGGGCGGGAGGAGGTGCGGCCAGAGGAGATTGCAGACCAAGAATTAGCAGAAGCCCTTCAAAAATCCGTACAGGATGCAGGTATTTGCAGTGGCCGGGCTCTTGAATTATAACTCTTGTTATTGGTGGGTGAGCCAGGGAAGTTCAAGCTTTAGCAGAGTCGGGACCTTTCTAGTTCGTAATCAGTCTCATCGTCCTGTCAGACGTGTTCCTGTCCTCCTACCACGTCCTCTGTCTCTGAGCACAGCAGAGAAAACCTAGTGTTTGAACAGATGGGAAGCAGCAATCCATTGCTGTGTGCGGGATACATTGGGGAGTTACTTGCTTAGGCACATTTTGGTAGACTTCCTGAAAAATCTTTTCTTTTTTCCTAAAGAAAATTATAACAGTGAGCAGATACTTCTTTGAGTCCAACAGTATTTCCCTGAAAATTTATTTTCCTTTTCTTAAGCCCATTAATTTTATTTAAACATTTTTTTTCCTTTATTAATTTTAAAGAGAGAGGAAGTAAGAGGGAGAAACATCGATGAGAGAGAGACATTGATTGGCACCCTCCTGCACGTCCCCTACTGGATCCCTACTGGAGATCAAGCCCGCAACCTGGGCATCGAAGCAGCCACCTCCTGATGCATGAGTCAGTGCTCAGCCACTGGGCCACACCAGCTGGGCACCGACCCTTTTTATATCTACTGAAAGTGCTGCCACCAAAGACAGAGGAACCAACGATAAGAAGCATAACTGAATATTAATCAACATAATAGGTTTATACAGTTAATGAGGTCACAGTAGTATGTCATTGGGCCAATTAGAGCAGTATGTGAGCTATGGAAATGAAGCTTCTTAATACTCCCTCCCGCACCCCCAAGTCTGAATTGTCGTAGCTTGTTTCAGCTAAAGTCCAAGCCAAGTTTCTGGGTAAAATGGAGAGACATGGTTTTGCTGAAATCCATGGGTAATTTTTCCCTATCCGTTACAGAACAGTGATTCTGGTATGCATTTTCTAGAAGCAGAAGAGAATTGACTTTTAACTTTAGGTTATTTTAAAGTTTTGAGCTATAATTATCCATCAGTGACTAGTATCACACGTTGCGTTTTCCAATATGGTAAAATATATTGTATTTTACTCTACAAGTTTAGGAACCCGCTTTCTTCTAAAGACAAAAAAGATCAGAGCTTTAAAAATAAGCAGCCATATTTTGCCAGTGTTGTTACTGGAGAGCACCCAGTTGGTCAGCCTTGAGCCTCTCGGGTGGGTGTGGGCAGCAGATAAAGGCTTCCAAGCTGGCCTTGCTCACAGTCTGCTCCACCACCACCCTGCAGCTCAGATTTTATAGAAACTACAGTTCCAAATGTGATTTAAGTATTTTGTAGGAAAGGGAGAATTTTTAACAACCACATAGAGAATAAACTCAGTTTTGTTGTTTTGCTTTGTTTTGTTTTGATCCTCACACAAGAATATGTTTTTATTGGTTTTAATTTTTTCTTTTAATTTTTTTATCACCTGAGGACATTTTTGCATTTATGTTCAGATAGAGCGGGAGGGAGAGATGGAGGAAGAGAGAGAGAGAAACATCTATGTGAGAGAGACACATCGAGTGGTTGCCACCCACAGGACCACAACCAGGGCCGTCGACAAACAACCGAGGTATGTGGTGCCCTTAGCGGGAACTGAACCCGGGACTCTCCGGTCTGCGGGCCAGCGCTCTAACCACTGAGCAAAACTGGCCAGGGCTTATTTTTTTTTTTTTTAAAGAATAGTTCAGTGATTTTTTTTTTTTTTTTTTTTTTTTTTTTTAGAGAGAGAGAGAGAGGAAGGGAGAAGAGAGAAACGTTGGCGTGAGTGTGGAACATCGATTCGCTTTCCTGCATGTCCCTTCCTGGGGATCAGTCCCACAGCCCTGTTATGTGCCCCGACAGGGAATTGAACCAGCAGCCTCTTGGCGCTTGGAACGAAGCCCAGCCAACTGAGAGAGAGAGAGAGAGAGGCATCAATGTAAAAGAAACACACCAATCAGTTGCCTCTCATATGCACCCATACCAGGGATTGCACCCAGAACCTTTTGGTGTAGAGGACAATGCTCTAGCCAACTGAGCCACCCAGCCAGGGCAAATTCAGTTTTAATCTTCCCTGCAAGGCAAGCTCGAATGAGTTTCATACCTACTTAGAAGTTTTCACATTTTGTTAGTAATTTGTCAGCTTAGTCATAATACTCTGTATTAATAAAATAGAATAATATATTATCATTTTGTGAATTCTCTGTTTTTCCCCCATAGTTTTGGTGCTTTTATTTAAGAAACACTAGCTGACGGTAGCAGTGTTGTCTAAACTAATGCCATTACTCTCTTTGGGGAATTACCTTTTATTTAAAAAGTTTAAGAGATTAAAATAGAAACCATAGATGTTTTTAGGCATAGTGAAGAAGATGTAGCAATTTTAAAAGATTAGAAGGAAATGGCTCTTCACCATGTGACCTTTGGTTACTGATGTGTATTGCTTGTGCTGATGTTTGTCATGTTTAATAATGAGGCACCTCTATAAGGTGAGGTTCTATTTGTTTGCAACATTGATTTCTCAGTATCATGAAAATCACAACTCTGGACATAGTAGGTGAAAGTATTTTTGCTAGAAACTGCTTCTTTGGTGGCTACTCTGTACCAAGTATCTTTTCAATTCAGAATAGGAGCTGTATCTGTTATGTTTCCTAAAAACTGATTAAAAGATAAAGAAGTTAAGCCAGGGTAGATAATCAGGTGTGGTTTGTATTTCTTCTAAAATAAGTCTCAACTGAGAAAGGAATTTGGAAAGTGACTGTTACATGTGTTCACTTACCCTTTCCTCCATAGGAAGGTGTCCGTGTCATGTAATTCTGTCTGTGGGCCTTCCTTTTTTCACCTGTCTCACGTGTGTGCCCATGAATTCTCTGTGTAAACTTAATTTCTTTCCAAGTTCTGTTAAAAACCTGTTGAATTTGACACATTACTTTATGTATTGTGAGAGAGTTAAAGCAACCAACGAATCTTTTGATGTCCAAACTACGGAAACATTCCCCAGCTTTGACTCCACCAGTTCCTGATGTTAAAGATGGCAAAGGAATGGAGACTATAACCCCGCATGCTGTGTGGTTTGCATTGTTAACCCGAGTTTGCTTGTCTGTTTCCTAATTCAAACAGAGCGTCAGAAGCCATGATGCATGTAGTGTGTGTGTACTGCAGCTGGAGTGGGCCCCAGACCAGGTATTTATAGCCACTGCGTTAAGCCTTCCATCCAGTCGTCGTCTGTGGTCTGTATCTGCAGCAGTTTTGGAATTTAGTGTCCTTCGTTCACCATTTCACCTTGTTTAATCTGGTTACAACTAGCCTGTATAGATGTTTGTAAGTTAGCATACATACACATCTAAGCATAATTTTCTGTTTAAAATTTTATCAATTATTAGAATAGTCCGGGGGTGGGGATCTCAGTAAAAACAGTTGTCCATGGGACTGACCATTGTGAATATCAAATCAAGAATGTCAACATCACAACCCTTTGTTGTTTGAGATAACTGGCTGTTAGGGATTTCATAAGTCCCTTTCTTAGGAAAAACTGGAAGTTCTTTTTTCACATTACTACACACAACTACCTAGAGTTATAGAGGGGCAGACGTTTTCATTCTGTTGAGGACGAAATGGATAAGCCAGAGGATTTGTCCAGCGTCACAGAGTCCATAATGAAGGTGGGATTGAAGTTTCACTCTCCCAGCAGCAGGAGCTGAGACTCTGCTTTTGCCTCTCCCTGGCTGGACCGATTTCTCCACTCCGCCTCTGTTTCCCTGCAGTGTGGGTGTGCCCACTGCCAGCCTGAGTGTATTGGCTGATGCATCAAGAGGGGAAAAGCGATCTTTTAAACTATCCACCTAGGACTTTATAGGGGTTTGCAGGCTGGTTGTAATTAGATGCATAGGACTTAATTTTGTCTTTCTTTCTTTTTCTTGTAAGGATGGGTTAAAAACAGGCTTAGTTTAATTATTCTTAATATCCATTGTCCTCATCGTCTTCTCCTATCCGATGGTACTGACCCAGTCCTCCCCTACATTTAGGACTTAGGCCAGTGAAACTGACCATCTCAGCTACAGGAGGACTATATGCTGCTTTAATAGTGAGTACAAAATACATTCAGGCGTGTTCACCTTGACCTCGCTCAGTTGTTACAACTGTCATACCAGTTGCCAGAAGGCCATTATCATTCTGCCCCGTCTTTTCTGTTCACGTTAACTCAAAATTGAATCTTTTTCAGAGTCAGCCTTAGAAATTGACAAATAAAACTAATAACTGTTTTTAGATTCTAATGGTGGATATAGTTTGCACTGAGATAAATGCTGTTTTTTGTTTGCCCCTAAGCTGTAAGTAAGATCGTTTCATAGGAAGTTAATAACTCCTAGTTAGTGCTTCATCTTCTCATGCTGTTGACCAGTGTTGGTTTAAACTGATCTAGAGCTATTTGAACCCTAACTGCATTGTTTCATGACCTCTGAAGTCAAGCTCAAGCCCCCAAGTTGGATGCTGCGTTCAGCACAAAGCAGTTAAATTGCATCCGCCCTAATAGATCATGTTGTGAAGCCACTTTTGTTACCAGCCTTTGACTCTTTTTTTTTTTTCTTTATTGATGTTAGAGAGGAAGTGAGAGGGAGAGATAGAGGCATTGATGAGAGAGAACATCGATTGGCCACCTCCTGCATGCCCCCACTGGGGATTTGGCCTGCAACCTGGGCATGTGCCCTGACCGGGAATCGAACCAGTGACCTCTTGGTGCATGGGTCAACACTCAACCACTGAGCCACACTGGGTGGTCCAGCCTTTGATTTTTAAAGATCTTATAGTACTGCACAGAGGGTCAGTTTTTAAATGGATCATTGGCAAAAATAGAGTTGGAACTGATGTTTAATGGCATCACGATGTTGCCACTGAGGTAATGTTTAACCCTGCCATCTTATGTGACTGGTCAGAAAGTTGCAGTGGATCTAAACCATCATTGCCTGTTGAAAAACTCTCCCTCCACTGCCCGAACTACCCCACCCCCATTCCCCTGCCCTTAAAATACTTCAGTGTTCTTACTTAGTTGTATTGTGTTCGTGTGATAAAAGTAACTGATAATCTTTTTTAAAGTTGCATTATTTGGTAAGATGATGATTGGGACTTTAATATGTTTGATCTTTAGCTTTACTTCTGTTCTCTGAGTAAATGTTCACATAGTTTTATTATTTTGGGGAAGTTTGAATAGAATGTTTCCTTCTCTGTCTTCCAGAGATCCCCAAGCATTACATTCTTCTTTCTCTTTATACTTCCCGCTCTGTCCCAGATACATCTGGCTTTAGACTTCTCATTTGTAACCTCAGTGTTCACATTTGAAACAGTAAAAGTGCGTTGGCATGAGAATCATCCTAGTCAGAGAGCTTCAGAATTTGTAATGCACTTAAGAATCACACAAGGAGCTTATTGAAAATGCAGGTTCCTGGGTTTACTCCGAAGGGTGATGCCCCAGAACCTGCGTGCTTAGCAAACATCCCAGTGATCTTAGGACAAGTGAGGAGAGAACACACTGCAGAAGGTATTCTAGGGTTCCAGATTCACTGAGCGTAAAGGCACCTAAATGTCCTTCAGTCTCGAGCATGAACCAGCCATCATGTGGATGTTTATTGGTGATACTTAAATTAAAATACTGAATTCCAGTATGCATGTTTTATTAAGAACATGCCTACCTCATATTTTGATGCTGTGATGTTAAATTGCCTACCACAGTGGGAATGGTCCTTGTGTAAGTTTATGAATATAAGCAAACCCCAGTTCAAGGACCTGATTTTGTTCTATCCTGTTTAGATTTGTGTCCTCTGATCATTGAGTGGCCTTCGTAACCTGCTGATCTCTTTTCCTTCCCCTTTTGTTCCATGTAGAGAAAAGTGGTGAAGAAACTACCTCACTGGGAATGTCATCGTTACCAGCTTCAGATGGATTTAACCATCCGGCCCATCCTTCAGGACAGAGTCCTGAGATTGGTAGCCCTGCGGGTCTTGCTCACTCTGCCTCTGCTTCAGTCTGCCCTGTCAAGCCCGGTGACCCAGACAGCATCGAACCTAAAGCTGCGAAGGCTTTGAAGGCTTCCACTGAATTGCAGACCACCTCTGAGAAGAAAGACCATCTTCCGCTACAGGGTTTCCCTGATCGGGCCTCTCCAGCAGACCAGGGCCCCACTATGCCTTTGCAGAGTCCACCCAAGGAAGCCATTGTCACAGGTGATCTGGAGACATCTGCTGAAAGAAGCACCCAGGGCCTCAACTCTCATCTCCACATAAGACAGGAAGTGTCTGTCACAACTACTAGGATGCAAGAACTGCAGAGGTTTCTAGGTGAAAAGGGTTGGCATCCAGAATGTCAGAATCTGAGTCAGGTGAATGGTCTTCAACAGCACGAGGAATCGGGGATTGAGTGGCATAAGGTTGTACAACAAAATGTGCCACACGACCAAGAACATCTTTGTAACACAGGGGACCTTGAACTCCTCGGAGAAAGGCAACAGAATCAACCAAAATGTGCTGGTGTGGAAGCTACAATGAAAGGAGACGGGCTACAGCAGATTGTGGGCCTTCCAGGTGCACAGAACAGTCCACCCTCAGGGTGCTCGGACTGCTCAAATGCAGAAACACTTATGGAAGTAGATGTAGTTGAACAGCCCCTACTTGCTGTGCTTAATTCGGCAGGTGGTCAGAATGCCAGTGTCGTAGACATCAGTGCATCTGATCTCCCCTTAGATAGTCCCTTGATGGAAGTAGAAACATCAAAATGTAACCCTTCATCTGAAGTTTTGAGTAGTTCCCTTTCCACTCAGAATTTACAGCTCCCAGAAAGTAATGTGGAAGTGTCGGGAACAAATAAAGACTCTGGGACTTGCTCCCCATCTGCAGGTCTCAGTGGCAGCTGTCAGCCCTCTGTGGAGTCGGCAGAGGGGTCGTGCTTGTCTATCACCGCAGCCTTGAAGGAACTTCAAGGGCTTTTGGTCACTAGCAGTAAACCGGCTTCAGAAAATACGTTTGAAGAAGTTGTCTGTCCATCAGAAACAGTAACTGAGGGCCAAGCAGGTTTGGGGATCCTTTCTGAAAGATGGATCCAGAGTGAACAGTGTTCACAAGTCTCCTTTCATCAGGCCACATCTGTATCAGTGAAGACAGAGAAATTAACAGACACTTCAGCTGGCACTGGAATAGAAGATATAGAAAGTATTAACTTAAGGGGTCCAGCTGATGGCCTATTAACCGATACAGAAGGTGTCCCCAGGTCTAGGGAATCCGGAAATGAGAGCGATTCTGTCACTCAATCCTCCGCTAAAACATCTAATCAATTACACTGCACCTTAGATGTAGAAATTTCACCCAAACTTTTAACAGGTAAGGAGGATGTACTCGATCAGACTTCGGAGCAAACTAAGTCCTTTTCATCAGATTTCATATTGGTTAAAGATTTGGGTCAGGGCATACAGAATCCAGACAGGCCTGAGACCAGAGAAGATGTCTGTCCTGAAGCTGCGGGGCCACTTGGTGAATTTGAGCCACCTACCAGCTATCCATCTTCCAGTCCCTCCATTCTTCCACCATTAGTGTTTCCTGCTGCAGACATTGACCGGATCCGCCATGCCGGCTTTACTTTGCAGGAAGCTCTTGGGGCTTTGCAACAAGTTGGTGGAAATGCAGACCTTGCACTTCTTATTTTGCTAGCAAAGAACATTGTAGTTCCTACGTAACCATGGAAAAGTGGGCTAGACCGTACTCCATTCCCTTAAAAAGAAAATGCTCTATATACACACATGCACACACACTCACCACATATACAGTATATGTAGAAACCTGCAAGCAGAATGTTGAGCCAGATTTTTTTTAAAGATTTTTTTCAGCCAAAGTAATTTATGATCTCTTGTCTGATGAATTTGTCTATTTGTTAAAATTTGGGCCTTTTTAAATGTAATGGCAGTATGTGCATACAGAAGCTTTTTATTCTCATTAAGATGATGTATTCTGGAATAAAAGTGTTGGCTTTGTGTATAGCGTACCATTTGAGAATGAGAGTGGATGCTTTGAGAAGCAGAAGCCTGAGAAATCCCACCAGCCCTGCAGCTAGAAGAGCAGATCAAGTTCACACTTTGGCTGTGTCTGTGCTTCAGGCAAAGGTGTGGCTTGTTGGTTCGGTTGTCAGTTTACAAACTTTTGACCACATGGTTTGGGTGTTTGGCATTCTACCCAGTGCTCTGTGTATTATGATTCATCAGTTATAATAGGAAAATTGAAGAATAATTGAATAGTATTGCCTAGAGTGGTCTGTTATTTGTGTGGTTAGGATTTGACATTTTAAAGGGATGAATCAGGAGGGTTTAAAACATGATTTACTTTTTGCATCACAGGCTGCTGCGTGGATTGCCACATATCGCGGATGGGATATTGTGTGGGAATTAACATTAGAGTGAAACATGGTGCTACCCAGATTTCAGACAAACAAACCTGCAATTCCATTTGCAAATGTCTTGGTGATGCTTTAAGAACTGAGTGAAAATAATGACCTAAACACTGGAATTTACTGGAGATTGGGTTTGCTAGCATCTCACCGATCACACCCCAACCCTCAGTGATCGTAAATTCAGCTAATGGGTTCATTGCCAGTAGTTTATTTTCTTTCTAAACTCATCTTCTACTAGGAAGCTTCTTCTAAAGCTCAGTTTGAGCTGTGATCTGCCTGAACTATTGACATGTGGACCTTGTCGCCGGTTCGTCTTGGTGCTTAGAAGGGTCAGTCTGGCGAGTGCTTCACGGCAGCGGAAATAAATAGTAATCGCAGCTTCTGACTCAAGTGGCCTTGGTAGTGTGTTCCATCTCTTTCTCTCCTCAGGAGTTCCTTTTGTTAAGCAAAAAGCGTCACATTTGTTTACCATGTCAAGTTAGAGTGGGGCACAGCATTACAGATGTATTTATTGTGGCCTTTTTTATATAAGGACTAGCCCTTGGAAGTCATTGTCCTGTGGGCCCCACTGTGCAATAATCCTACTGGATAGATTTTAGATCCCACTCCCACCCCCACCCCGGAAAGAAAACTGCCTTCTCATGTACCTAAAAGGAATCTGAAATCTTGGTTTTATTGAAAAGAATTCTGAGCATGGCAATTCTCAGTTCCGGGTTATAGTTCACAGTGTGTTTGCAACAACCTTTGAAATGGTGATGTTGGCTTAGTATAAATGATACTGCCTAAAGTCAGACCCTCTTTGAAAGCTCACTCTTTCCATCAAAATTCAAGTCATTTAGCACAATCAAAACGGAGGCTCATATCTCAGGAGTTTTTGACATTTTAATTCGGGGCTACTTCAAGGCATTTCTTTTCTACCCTATTCCATCTTCTTTCTCTTGGCTGTGGGGGGTGTGTGTGTGTGTGTGTGTGTGTGAGTGTGAGGACACTTTAATAAGGTGATGGAAAGTCGCATAGGTTCTGCTCAATCCTCTCGGTCAGCAAGCAGTTGACAGCAGTTGTAGTTGGCTGTTTTCTAGAGGGTGCTCAAGAACAGCCGGCCAACTGGATTGTCTAGAGTGTTCTTTGTGGGACAGCCCCGTGCTGCCGGCCCGTTCGCCTGCCCTGCACCAGAGATGCACGGTGCACGAGGGAACCGCTTCCAGGACTTCTGCCCACCGACTCAGACCTGCGACCGAAACGAAGTAGCTGGCGCTGTGCCTGAAGCAAAATCAGTGGCAGTGCGGTGGGTCCCTGTGTTTGTGGGTGGTGATCGGGATTTATTCTCAGCATACAGAGTGGGGTGGGTGTGGAGTGGAGAGACAGCAATGACAGGACTCCTCCACAAAAGCCTTCTGTGTGAAGATGGGCCTCACGGTGCTCTGAGCGGGTGGCACCACTCAGAGCCCGGGCACTGACTTCAGTGTGGAGGCTGAGGACTCAGTCCCAAAGGTGGACTGTGGAATAGCATCCAGGAAGAGGTTTCATTGCAATAGCTTCATGTGTGTGTGTCTGTGTGTTTAGGAGAAAATCAATTGAGCCTGTGTGTGTGTGTGTTTAGGAGAAAATCAATTGAGCTTGTAGGTGTGCATGTGTTCTTGTTAGGAATACTTAGAATGAGCTTAACCCAAATATCCTTGTCCTTTTTCATCATTTATTTTCCAGTGTATAAGTGCTTTTTATTTTTAAGATCTTATTTCCTGTCCATCGTTTGTATGGCAGTCAAGTTGTTGCTCTTGCAAGGGTTTTGAGTCATCTGTAACTCCAGCAGTTCTAGAACACAGAGGGGATTAAGGAACACGATACTAGTGAACCGACAGTTTTTATTCAAAGCGCAGAAATGAGAGATGAATTTCTCCAAGAATAAGATTGAGTCATGAAACCCCTCTGCCTGCCAGCAGACTGGTAACGCCAGCCTGACCAGTAATGGGCCATTTCCGTGGATGGCTCCTTGGCCGTGACCAGTCATGGACAGCCTTCCGGTGGGCGCCTACCTTCAAGAGTGGTCTCAGTTTATTCACCAAAGAGAGAAGACTTTTATGTGTAACTTCTGCATTTCCCCTGAAGTTGGTTCCTGTGGGTAAGAATATGCTTGGTAACCAGACACCTATATCTAGGTTCTAGATTTTGCCCATTGAAGGCAATAAGAATTATTTCCACTTGTACCTGTTTATGCTCCGGACGTCAGCCAAATAGCCTTCATCCCACAGTTTGGGCTTTAGCCATAAACATACCAAGATTACCAGTTGCTTGGCAAAGGGAACTGGATAGATGGTGAGTGTGTGTGAAAACGATTTTGCCTTGCATTCTACCCACGTGTTTTTCCTCAAAACACTTTTCCCAGCAAGAGGGTTGCATAAAAATGGAAAGATTCGCGAGGCTTCGTGTCACTAATTTTATGGTGGCCATTTCAAGTGGAATCTGCCTGTTCTTCCCTTAGCACTTCTGTCTCTAGTAAAAGCCATGAAAATGTAGTTGGTTTAACCACCAGCTCTTGTGTATATATACATGTGTGGTTGACGACTGTCCTACACTTAACTCTATATAGATTAATAAGCAAACAGTTCTGGTATCTACAGTACATCCTTCACCGTGGCTTTTATCCCACTGTATGTATAAAAGACAGCCTTGCAAATACCTGGCCAGGAGAACACAGTGCTTTCCGGTTTCCTTTCTTACCTCTTGGACACCGGCCCCTGCCCTGAGGGTGAACAGGATAACTGAACTGTTACTATTCCGAAATTCTTACCTCTGGGAACATCGCGAGCGAAGCTAACTGGATTATGCATTCTGCCATTCTCTCGCACAAATACCAAAACGCTCCATTTCTCCTTTGAACTTGGTGACTCTGTTTCTAGTTCAGCCACAGAGTACACTGAGTTTCTCCTCGTAGAATATGACTGTTACCTTTCATGTTAGGAGTTCCATAAAATAAAAATAGCATTTTCCTCTGAAAGAATTTAAAATGCCAGTTCCTCGTAACGAAATAAATTCAAAGCGTGTCCTTGAGAACTGGAAATGTACAGACATGGCTCGAGTTCTGCACCTTAGTGGACCCTTGTTAGGTGTCACCGGGAGTTTGTTGAATAAACCGAAGAACTTGGGGATGAACCTTTGATGTGCTTGACCTTCTCCCGTGCCTTAGTTTCTCCAAATAGCAGAGGCATCTCATTCTGGTGGGACATGAAAGTAGAAATATGGGGGAGGGTCCGTTGAAAGTGGCCCTCCCGAAGATAGCACACAAGGAGTGGTCTTGAGGCCCACCTAGACTATTCAGAGTCATCCAGCAGCAAACCATTTGGTAGAACTACTCGAAGAGACACGGTATTCAGAAGTCCGTTTATGCCGTGGGTGGGGGTGGACAGGGTAGGGAAGTACAAGTAAGTGGAAGTGATCCTACACATGCACAGTGACAGCATCCTCCCCACTCCCCCTGGGCCGGCTGCTCTGGACCACTGACCATCTGGGCCAACAGGACCTAGAGGATTCTGCAGGGTTTGCTGTTTTAAAGCAGCTGAATGCAAGATGTGAAAAGGGGGACCTGGAGCAGAAGCTAACAGCCAGCAAGGGTGTGGGACTGGATGATGGGCAGCATTTGTAAGAGGACTCAAGACTAGCAAATCTTTCCACAGGACCACTCCATGTAAAGGACATTCTTTAACCCATTATTTAAAATGTCATCACTTGTAATCCCGAGGCACACAGGGAGAATTTCTGGACTTGAACTACTAGTGAGTTGAGAGGTTTACAATGAGTTATGTATTGGTGATTGGTAACCTGGACCCTCTGGGGGCTCTAAGGTGAGAGATGTAGCCGGTACGTTTTAGCACACAGTCTTGTGGGATTAAATCTGCAGAGGGAATAGTTCAAGAGTGGAGGAGTTGGAGAGTACTTATTCTACCTGAAAAAGCTAAGCAAACTACAGAAGACCCGGAATGGGGACGTGGAATACAAAATCAGAATAATCCTTACCGAATTATATCCCTTTAAATATGTACCATAAGGTTTTCATTAGCTGACTTGAGGAAGGGGTATACTGGGATATTTTTTCCTGGGAAACACATGCCTGATGGGAAATGATGCTGTTAACCAGGAGTTTGTTGTACACACAACCTTGAGTGAATGCATCTGTGGCTTAAAGAAAGGCAGACCTCTTACTAATTTCCTACTGGAGGCAGGCAGATTAGTTTCTTTCTAAATTCCTTTGGTCTGAGAGTACCTGATGCTGACCAGACTTCTTTTTCCGTCCCTTAAGGCTCTGCAGCTGAGTTGATGCCACCCATCTGTGACCTTCCCCTCCATGATTCTATTTCCATTCTCTAGTCTCTTTGCCATCCTTTGAGAGAATTCTGGTGATATACTAAGAGCACTGCAATATACTGATCGCATCTACTTTTTTCACTGTGCACCTTCGATGGAAGCTAATTGCTCGTTTAAATTCAAATCTCATCCTCACGGCAATTTGGGCCAATGGCCTTTGCACTCAAGGTTTGTTTACCAGTTTTGTAGCCATACTTGGTGAATCTCAGCAAATAGAAATGGCTCTTTTTACCTTATTTGTTCTTGCAATTGCTTGTGTATGCTTTCCTGACTTTTCTTTACGCTTTGAGACTACTGCATCTCACGAGAACTGGGTTGATTGGCAAAATAGGCTTGCCGATAATAGCCCAGTCTCTCCCCTAATGCTTTGGTTTTGAGAGTTGGGAAACTGAGAGCTTAAGGGAACCAAACTCAGGAATCCCAAAGTTGGTTGCATTGTGCCATTGGTTTAGGGGCTGGACGTAGGGCCAGTTTGGAGCTGAGTGAACTAGATGCGTTTGGATTTGAGTTGTTGTCACATGATGAAATGTAAGTCAGCCCTAAATAATCAAAACACTTTATTTTATTTTTCTTTTTTTAATAGGAACTTTCTGAAGAAAAGTGATGTGTAAAACATTTGATATTTAAGACAATAAAGTTTTTATCATAAGACTCTTGTTTGATCAATTTATTTTCACTTGAAATGGTTAATTAATTGGTATCCCTGTCTCTCTTTCCTTCCTGCCCCTTTAAGTCACTTCTACCCAGGCTCTGTGACTTGCCATGTGCCTGAACCCCAGGAGAAATGGGCACCTCCAAGCATTAAGTAACTTCCAGATAACCATTGTAGGAGGGTCACTGTCTGCTGGTGTATAAGAGGTGCATTTTGTGCCCTGGCCAGTTTGGCTCTGTGGTTGGAGCATCGGCCCGTGGACTAAAGAGTTGTGGGTTCGATTCTGATCAGGGGTTTGTACCTCAATTTTGGTTCAACTCCCTGGCCCTGGTCAGGGTCATGTGGAAGGCAACCAATCAAGGTGTCTCTCTCACATTGATGTTTCTCTCTCCCTCCCTCCCACTCTATCTGAAGGTAAATGGAAGAATATCCTTGGGTAAGAAAAATTTTTTACGTTTTTTTTAATTTTCTTTATGTTTTTATCCTCACCCGAGGACATTTTTGCATTCATCTTGAGATAGAGTGGGATGGAGAGAGAGAAACATCAATGTGAGAGAGACACATCGAGTGGTTGCCACCCACACGACCCCAACCAGGGCCAGAGCCAAACTGCAATCGCGGTATGTGCCCTTAGCGGGAACCGAACCCAGGCCTCTCTGGTCCATGGGCCGACGTTCTAACCGCTGAGCCAAACCGGCCAGGGCTGAGGATTTTTTTTTTTTTAATAAAAAAGAGGCACATGTTGTGACTCCACATGGGCAGCGAGTTGAGGCAGAGGAATAGCAATAACAGTGGTGATGGCTATTGTGGGTCAGACTAGTCTCCAGACCAGGCTACTTGGGTTTGAAGTCCAGCTTTGCCACGTATAGCTATGTGACTGGGTAAGGTGCCTGACCTTTGTGTGCCTCAGTGTCCTCATCTGTAAAGTAGGGACCATGGGGACTGTAGGGCTTAGACAAGTTAATGCATGTAAAGTTCTTAGAAAATGACTGGCACATGGTAAGTGCTGATTAGATATCAACTAGTATTCGTTGCATCACATAAGAGATTTGAGAATGCTAAAGGGAGTTTCCAGAAGCTGGGCAATTCTAGCAGCCTGGTGTGTGAAAAGGGAAGGCTCTTGCCCCATGGGTCCTAGGCTGCCAGGGTTCTGCCCTCTTCAACATGTGGCTCCAAGATACTTTGGACATCAGCATGTAGCTGGCATACCAGGAAAGGAGAAAGCATTGTTCATGGAAGTGTTTACACCAGGCCTGGAAGGGTGTATGTCACTTCTCTACCACAATTCACTGGCCGAACTCAGTCGTGTGTCCATACCAAACTCGGCAGGCCGGGGGGTCTAGTCTCGTGTGCACGAGATGAGCGCGGTGTGCTGGTCAGCGGGCAGTCCTGGGCCTCACGCCGAGACCACACATACCCTCTCCCCCAAGGAGAGGCCCCATGTGCCCCCCAGGCACTCAGCTCGCCTCAGTGATGCCCTGTTCTCTCCCTTAGCTCTTGACTGGCCTTTTAGGGTCTGGCAAACAACTGGAGATACAGTGAGCAAGTGTTGGGACAGAATCACTGCACTGGAAATGTATAAAAGTGCTGAGTTATCACCTGGTACTGCTTCCTTGTCCACAGCTGGTAGTGTCGTGACGGGATTAACCGAGTGCACCATCCCTTATCTGCGGATTTTTTTTTTCTTCAAAAAATTGGATCTGCCCGGCCGGCGCGGCTCAGTGGTTGAGCGTCAACCCCTGCACCAAGAGGTCACCGGTTTGCTTCCTGGTTTTGCTCCCGGTCAGGGCACATGCCCAGGTTGTGGGCCAGCTCCCCAGTGGGCAGCATGCAGGAGGGAGCCAGTTGATGTTTTCTCTCATCGATGTTTCTCTCTCTCCCTCTCAATTCCTCTTTCTATTTAATAAAAAAAGAAAGAAAAAAATCAGAGCTAGGGTGGCTTGGTTCCTCCTAGGAAGTTGCTAACGCCAACACCATTTTCCTCGTCTGTGTCAGGTCCCTGGAGTGCCCTGGGCCAGAAATCCTCCACCACCCCACCCCCAGCAGCTCTCTCACCGCCTGCCCCTGAGCAGTAAAGGCAGCTTCATCCTTCCGGTTGCTCACTCTAAAACCTGCATCCCATCCACCCTCAAATCTGTTGGCTCCACTTCAAGTTCTATTCAAAATCTGACCGCTTCTGTACCTCCGGTCCCAGGCATCACCACCTCTCAGCTGGGTTACGGCCGCAGGTCTCGCCGCTCCTGCCCTTGCCTACCTACATCCTGTTAGAACAGCTGCTGGCGTGATTCCTTTAAATCAGGTCCTGTCTCCTTTTCCCTTCAGTGAGCCCCATCTCACGCATAAGAGCCAGCGTCCTTATAATGCCTCCAGGCCGCTGTCGACCTCTCTGCCTTCACCTCCCACGTCCTCACTCAGCTGTGCCCTGACCTCCACGCTGGACCTCACCACGCTCTCCCACCTCAGGGCCCTTCTGGTTGTTCCTGGTCTGGAATGCTCTTTCCCTAGACACCTTCATGGCCTTTTCTCTCCCTCCAGGTCTTGACTTAAATACCACCTTAGTGAGGTCTTCTCTGGCTACTTTGTTTGTTTGTTTTTTATCCTCACCTGGGGACATTTTTGCATTTATCTTCAGACAGAGCAGGAGGGAGAGAAGGAGGAAGAGAGAAAGAGAAACAGCGACGTGAGAGAGACACACCGACTGGTTGCCACCCACACGACCCCAACCAGGGCCGGGGACAAACTACAACCAAGGTACTGCCCTTAGCAGGAACCGAACCCGGGTCTCTCTGCACCATGGGCCTATGCTCTAACCACTGAGCAACCGGCCAGGGCTTCTCTGGCTACTTTTTATAAAATTGTAGCCACTCATCTCACTTTATCACTTCCCTTATTAATTTATTAATTTTTCTCTTTAGCGGTGACCACTACCCAACATACTCTGCATGCCATTTCTGTACCTAGTTTATTATCTAGTTTATTATCTATGCAGGTTTTAGGGATTCTAGACCAGGGTGACTGTTGAGTTTGAATTGAATGTCGCTTTTAAAAGACAAATGATATTCTGAGGTTAGTAAGTTTGCAGACATCCATGTGGTGTAGTGCTTTTTATTATACCCACATAGAAGACTAAATTGGGACATTGACAGACAGCATCTCTCTGCTAATGGTTGTACAGATTGACCATAGTTCTTCACGCACTACTTCCTAGAATGGAAAGGCCCATCAGGTATAAAGAGAAGCAGCCTTATATCTGGCCCTGGTTCTCTTTCTGGCCTTTTAATTCTGTAGATGGCCAAAAAAACAAAAACAAAAAACAAAAACATTCTGCATTCCTATTGAATTAAAAATTAATCAGAAGATGTCAATTCAATAAACAGTATCACGTGCCAGATTGCATGAGCTGAGCAAGGTGCGTCTTCCTGTGGACCTCACATTATGGCAGTCTCTTTGCAGAAGGACAACAAACAGAATCCCACGTAGTAATAAATTCCGTGATGAAAATGTAGTAGATTGGCATGCTGGAAGGGACTAGAGGCTACTTACTGTTGAGCAACCAATGAGACAGGTCTGAGAAGTTAACCTTTGAGATTGGACAAGACTCCCGCCACATGAGGATTTGGGATGTTTTATGTTAGTCCAGGCTGATGAAAGAAAAGTCAAAATCTCAATGATTTATTACAAAAATAAGTTTTTATTTTGCCTATGTGATAGTCCAAGACAAGCATTCCTGATTGATAGGCAGCTCTCCTCCATGTAGTGATTCAGGGAACCAGGCTCGTTATGTCTTGTAAGTCTGACATCCTCTTTGTTTCATCCTACCGGGTAGAAGCAGCAGCACCGTGGAGAAGTCCAGCCTAGAAGTGGATCACTTTATTTCTGTTCACGTTTCTCTGGAGAGAACTTGATAGTAGAGTCATGCCTACTGGCAAGGAGGCTGGGAAATGTAGTCTAGCACTGTCTGGTGACAGTGCTACCACTGTGGAGAGAGCAGATTGGGGTGAACAGCTAGAGACCTCTGCCACACTGGGAAGAGCATCCCAGCAAAGGCCCTCAGATATGTACACACTGGCATGTTTGAGAAACAAGGTTGGTGGGGACTGGCTACACCAGCAGAGAGATTAAGACATGAATCAAGGACACCGGCTGGGTCAGATCAGCTATGGCCTTGGAGGCCAGAGAACAGAGTATGGATGGCATTCCAGATGTTAGGACAGAAAGCTGTTGGAGAATTTTAAGCTAGGATGTTGACTGATAACCCAGTTTTCACCAACTCTTCTTGCTGACTGGACAGTACTGAGGAAGGAATTGGATGTTCAACATTTTTAAATAAAATCACGTGAATTAAAGCTGCCTTGTTTGGGTTTACTCAGTCCCAGAGTTGTAGATTGTACCTGTAGATGCTAAAGTTAAGATGGAGGAACCTGGGCCACTGCTGTTAGGTACAACCAGCCCCTCCTACCTCCCTCTCTCAGATGGGGATCAGCTTCACAAGCCTAATAGACAAGGAAATATTTATTCCCTCCTCTGGAAACACAAATATATTTGCTTAGAGTTGGGGGGAAGGAGAGAAATTGGTCCCATAAACCATCCTCCACTTGTTTTTTTGTTTTGTTTTTTTACAGTCCTGTCCAATGATCTTTTTTTTCTTATCCTCACCTGAGGACATTTTTCCATTTTTTGTTCAGGTAGAATGGGAGGGAGAGAGAGGAAGAGAGAAAGAGAGAGAGAGAGAGAAACATCGACGTGAAAGGGACACATTGAGTGGCTGCCACCCACATGACCAACCAGGGCCGGGGACAAACCGCAACTGAGGTACATGCCCTTAGCAGGAACCGAACCCAGGTCTCTCTAGACCGCAGGCCGACACTCTAACCGCTGTGCCAAACAGGCCAGGGCTCCAATGATCTTTTAAGGATGTGATAGGATGACGGTGCCAGAATGTTTTTTTTTTCAATCTCTTTCCTCTTGGAGGCATAACACATCTTCGGAAAGAACAGTAAAGGAGTCTGGTGGGCCAGGGCTAGGGTCTCTCTCTGCTCTTGCCTTTCTCCCCAACTTCTTCCTGCATCTAGTGGAGTTTAACAGAGGAGACTTAGGTTGAAGACAATATTAAATGAAGAAGAAGGAGGAAGAGGAGAAGAGGAACAATAACAACAAAATCATTTTTCCTGTGTCACTGGTTTGGAAACTAGGAGTGATTTGCCCGAGGCCCTGGCATGAGTCCCTTGAGGCTTTTGATTCTTGATGCCTCAGAATCTCGTGCACTTCACACGTGATCAGCAAAGTCTTGAGCAATAAATGACGGGGCTTCAGTGATGAGTCTGAGTGACTCCCAATAACAGGATTCATAGGCATCCTGGTTTGGGGTGTTTTGTGTTTTCGTTGTTTTGTTTTTGAGTTGCCTTGTTGTTACAGGCAAGGACCGATTCCACATTTGAGCTGTAGGCATGGGACAATTACCTGCGCATGAACATCCACACTCGGCCCGTCTCCTTTTCTGCAGAAAGTCACGGAACGAAGATTTGCCTCTCTTCTCCCACCCACTCACACACCCATGCAAACCTTAGGAACCGGTAGGCTGTGAGACCAGATGTTCCTCCTGAGTGTTGTGAAAAGTTGAATGAAACCCTACCCAGTGTAAAAAAAATGAAAACAATATGGCAGAAATACCACCACCCTCTCACATCACAAGGATACAGCCAAGCGATAAAAACTCCTGTTGAGCCCTGGCCGGTTTGGCTCAGCGGTTGGAGCGTCGGCCTGCAGACCAGAGGGTCCCGGGTTCGGTTCCCGCTAAGGGCATGTACCAAAAAAAACAAAAACGCCTGTTGAAGCTGTCATGTGCCCAAGCACATGACAGGAAGGTGGTGTCGGGCAGATGCTGCCCACACGATGGCTTGCTACCTAACAGCAGTAGAATCACAAAGCTAGTTGGTTCCACTTTGGACTGAATGGATTCCCGTGAGCCGGGGTTGCATCCAACAGGCTGGGGCCTGTAGGCACCCTACCATGGGTGGAGTAGGAAGGGAGTGCACCAAAGCTCTGAGACTGGTCATTCAAGCTGGCGTTCCTCCTACTTGCCGCAAACACCTTCAGACAGCTGACTATTTCCTCGTTCAAAGTGAAGTGTCCTCTGCGCTCAGCCTCTTCTCTACGGGTCCAGTATCCATTCTGCCCCTGCACGGCTCCCCGGAGGCTATTTCTTATCTATCTAACTCAGGACTAATAAGCAAATGCCCTGACTTTACAGATTTTGCTTCTTTCTCGAAAGGGTTAGATCAAAGGGGTCACCTCCTAGAGTAATGTGAAGAAATGAAAAGATATCCTTAGCTCAGAAAAGGATACAAATGGTTTCTGGGCTCCACTATTGGCTATATGGCTATATAATTTTAGGCGAATTACTCCCATCCCTTAATTTCTTTCTTTTTTTCTTTTTGTTGCTGTTAAATTATTCCTGATTATGTTTTCAATACTAAGATAAATGAATTTTTTTTTTATCCTCACCCAAGGACATTTTTCCATTTTTTGTTCAGATAGAGTGGGAGGAAGAGAGAGGAAAAGAGAGAGAGAGAAACATAGACGTGAAAGGGATACATCGAGTGGCTGCCACCCACACGACCCAACCAGGGACAGGGACAAACTGCAACCGAGGTACATGCCCTTAGCGGGAACCAAACCCTGGTCCCTCCGGACCGCAGACCGATGCTCTAACAGCTGAGCCAAACCAGCTAGGGCTCTTTCTTTTTTTTTTTTTTAATTATTTTTTTATAATATCGATATTGGTATTTTTTTCTCAATTTTTATTAATTTATTTTTGTTACAGATGTCCCCCCCAGACACCCTCCTCCCCATCCAGCCCCCTATCTCTCAATTTCATCTGTACAAGAATGTTGTAAGGGTACATGAGACAAATGTAAAACATTTAGTTCAGTGCATCGCACAAGTCGGTATCCCTCAGATCGTCATCGTCATTCCTGTTAACAGCTCTTGCCCTAGATCCTGAAGTGGTAATAAGAGGCAGCTAGCCCAGCTTCTCAATTAGCTGTTCTCTTTCCTTTTCCAGACATACTATTTTTGAAAAAATATGTTTTTATTGATTTTAGAGAAAGAGGAAGGGAGAGGAAGAGAGAGAGAGAAAAACATCAATGAGAGAGAACATCGATTGGCCACATCCTGCATGCCCCCCACTGGGGATAGAGCTTGCAACCCAGGCATGTGCCCTGACCGGGAATCGAACTGGTAACCCCTTGGTGCATGGGTCGATGCTCAACCACTGAGTCACACCAGCCAGGCTTCCTGACATACTTTTGTTCCCTATTCAGTCACATAAAAACAAAACCAAAACTGCCACCATCTTGGGCCTCTTCTGGGGAAGCTGAGAGATAGGCAGAGATCTCTGAGTGTGTACGGGGTGGGGTCCATTTAGGATAAGCTGTAGAATCGGTGTTTCAGACAGGCGCTGAAGCAAATAGGTCTGGGAGGGGGAGGCGGTGGGGGGCAGTGGTAACTTGAGCAGCGAAGAGGAAAAGCTGGGGAGTTGAAGTTGAGAAATGGGGTATTGCCCGGCTGGTGTGGTTCAGTGGATTGAGCATCGTCCCATGGACTGAGAGGTCCCCAGTTCGATTCCTGGTCAGGGCACATACCCCAGTTGCAGGCTTGATTCCTGGTAGGGGCATGTCAATTGATATTTCTCTCTCACATCGATGTTTCTCTCTCTCTCCCTTCCTCTCTCTCTAAAAAATCAATGAAAACATTTTTTAAATTTTAAAAAAGGAGAATTGGGGTATCTTAAGAATAAAAAGAGGAATGACCATTTAGCAATATTTACATATATTGAATCATGCTGTATACCTGAAACTAATGTTGTCAATTATAACTCAATTTCTTGAAAGTGAAAAAAAAAGTATATATTGACGTTTAAAAAATTAAAAAGGAGAGATGAAAGGATGTATCAGGAATATATTTAGGACAAACCAATAAGTGAGCCAGGTGCGAGGCTGAGAACTCTAAGTGTAGGTGCTTCATAAGAGGGTGGACTTGGAGAGGGGCCTGAGGCAGGGGAACGGGTGTGGGTTCCAGGGCTGAGGGAGCGGGCGCCCTGAGGACGTGGCGGCTGGCTCAGGGGATGCAGGCAGGAGGAGGAAGGGGCCTTGGCACAGCAGGTGAAGCACGGAGGGTGTGTTTTGGAGGTGGGCAGGGGCACCAAGGACCTGACAGCGTAGGACTGAACTGTGAGGGGGAGGGACTGAGCAGTGACGGGCCAGGGAGGGAAGGAGGGCTGGGGGCTGGGGCAGGTGGTGCCGGGGTCTCCAGGCTCCTCCGAGCCAGGGGTTCTGGTCGGTGCACTGGAGGGGTCTGGGGTCCCAGCGTGGCGGGCCCTTTGAGCTAAGGAAAGGGAGGGTGTAGGTGGGGTCTCCACCAGGCTGAAGGGGTCTCCAGCTGGCAAGGCAGGCAATGTGTGTGGAGGTTCCAGGGCCCCCGCTGGAGGGGTTGGAGGGGCTTGAGGTCGCTGAGGGCTGGGCCGAGGTCTGTGGGGTCCCTGGGGTCTGTGGGCTGAGGGGGGTCTTGGGGTCCCTGGGCTGAGGGGGTCTTGGGTTCCCCAGGGTCTGTGGGTGGGGTTTCGGGGTCTGTAGGGGTCTCAGGGTCCCTGAGGTCTGTGGGGGTCTCGGGTCCCCAAAGTCTGGGGGTTTCGGGGTCTGTAGGGGTCTCAGGGTCCCTGAGGTCTGTGGGGGTCTCGGGGTCCCCAGGGAAGGTGGGGTTTCGGGGTCGAGAGGGGTCTCAGGGCCCCAGGACCCCAGAGCGGCGTCCCCGCCGCCGCCGGCCCAGGCGCCGCCCCGCCTGACATCAGTTCCGCCGCCGCCGCCGCGCAAGCCCGCGGCCTCCTTCCCGGCCGCGCTCGGGAGCCGCCGGGCCGCGGGAGCGAGGGGCCGGGCGAGGCGAGGGCCGGGCGGCGGGCGCCGGGCCCTGCGGCCGGCACGACGGAGCCCCCGCACGGCCGGCCGCAGCGGTTGGCGGCGGCCCCGGGCCCCCGGCGCGGGAAGCGGCGGCGGCGGGGCGGCGGCGGCGACATGGAGCCGCGGGAGGTGAAGGACCGGATCCTGGAGAACATCTCGCTGTCGGTGAAGAAGGTGAGCGCGGCCGGGCCCCTGCCCCGGGCTCGGGGCCGCCCTTCCCTCCGCGACCCCGCCGGGCCGGGCCGGGGCCGCTCACGTGAGCGCCGCCGCCGAGCTATTTTTAAAGAACAAAGTTGAGGTCAGCGCCCCGGGAGCCTCCAGCGGCCGGGCCCCGGGCCCTCGTCCCGCGGCCGGGCTGCAGGGCCCCGGCGGACCCGGCTGCAGCATCTCGGGCGGCATCGCCGCATCCTCGGCCTCCGCCGCTGCATCTCCCAAAGCCCAGGCGGGGCAGAGGCCGCCCTCGCGGCTTCCAGCCCCCGGCCGGCCGGGCGACATCGCCTCCCTCCTCGGAAGCCCCCCGAACAATCTGGCCCAAAGACGGCAGTTTTGAGGAGGCTTCTCAGAGCTGCGGTGGGGAACTTGCAGCACCTGGGGACTGCGTTTCGGTTGGGGACTTCCAGGACTTGGTGACACCGCAGGCCCCATGCTGGGGGGTCCCTGCAATAGCATCTCTGTCCCAAGTCTAGGCAGAAAGAAATGTGACTTGTTGAGGGGTGTGCCTGAGGAAGTCAGCTTGTCTGAAAGAGGGTCAAACTCTAGAAGGTAGAGTTCATAGTCACTTAAAGCCAGACTGAAATAGACGATCATTTCAGGGTGTTGTTGGTTTTCTTCCCTAATTTGAATTCCTAGATCACCTGATAGTCTCAGAAACTGGGGGTGACTGGGGCGAGGGGGCTTATCAGGTTATTTGGTCACTTCAGCAAACCAAAATGAAGAAAATGAATTAAACCAACCATTATATTTCAGTAACTTTTTCCCACTTCAATTCCCCAAAACTAACACAGGGAAGCAGTTTGACCTTTCATAAAGATCAACATGGCTTAACGAGAAAAGTAGATTCAAAACGCTCTTACTAAAATATTCCTTTAAAAGCACAGCTAAAAGTAACATGGTAGACATCCAACAAAAGTTTCGTTCATTTCGTTTTCCTGAGCTTGGCTAATGCAATTGGGGCATCGTTTTTGCTTACTCAAGGAATGCAGAATGAGCAAATACTCTGTTAAAATGCAATGCATTTCGTAATGGAAGAGAAAGAAAGATCGCTGACTTCACTGATCTCATCTGGGCTGGTTATGGCTTCAGGTAGGCCAGGCGTTTTGTCTTTGGATTTCCAACAAGTCATTGGGGACAGCCCCAGGTAGAAAGGTGGTGGATGCAGACGCCCTGACATCCATGTAAACATGAATCTTTTGAAGGCTGAGATCCACTCTGTAAACCAGAGGAGTAAATTATGAAGGAGTTGTTTGTCGAAGTTCTTGTCACTGTATGGGTTTGGACAAGCACATTTTATTGAGCTGTAGTCCATGCTGGAAGACACGGGATGCACACTAGAAACCAGAAACCCATCCCTAAGTACTCCGCAAGGGAAGGCCTGACTGACTAGCATCATGCTTAGGAACATGGATTCTGGAGCCCAGCTGCCTAGGTTGAATCCCTGCCCTGCCAGTTAATAACCCTATGATCTTAGGTAGGTTCCTCAACCTCTCCATGCCTCAGTTTCCTCACCTGTAAAGCAGGGATAAAATAGGGTCCTTTTGAAGAGGTAAGGGGGTTATGTATGTAGAGTGTTCTGCACGGTGCTTGACCCAGTCTCAGTAAGCTGTCTTAGTCTGTTTTCGCTGCTGTAACATACTACCATAGACTAGGGGCTTATAAACAACATGCATTGATGGGTCACAGTTCCCCTCCTCCAGGTTGTAGACTGCTGATTTCCCCCAGTGTCCTCACATGGGGGAAAGGGTGTGGGAACTCCCCTGGGTTTCTTTTTTTTTATGTTTTTACTGATTTTTTTAGAGAGAGAGAGAGAAACATCGATGTGAGAAAGAAACATTGATCGACTGCCTCCTGCATGTCTCCTACTGGGGATCGAGCCTGCAACCTGGGCATGTGCCCTGACCAGGAATCAAACGGGCGATCTCTTGGTGCATGGGTCGATGCTTAACCACTGAGCACACCAGCCAGGCTCCTGGGTTTCTTTTATAATGGTGCCACCCTCATGACCTAAGCACTTCCCAAAGGTCCACCTCCTAATACCATCACATTGGGGGGGGGGGGGATGACACAAATGTCCAGCCTATAGCATTAGTGGTCGTCATTTCCATTTGTTTGTCATAGTGCCAATAGCTCACTTTTACAAGATCTGAAGCTGGCTAAGTGCCTCACCACCTAAAGGCTGTTATACAACACCATCGGGACTTGTCACCTACTTCCTTTGTATGCTGCGTCTCAGAGAACTGTTTTCTGAGTCTTGCACCATGAGGTGCATTTGGTTTCCTGAACCAGAGTATCTGCTTCTCATAGGAATCAGTTAGTTCGATGACAGCAGTAGGCGTTGAGGACTAGCGGCCTTGGGGGCAGGGCTGTCCCGGAATACCAGGGTCTTAAATTTGTTATCCAGCACTGTAAGAGTGGCTTCGCCTTTTTCTTCCATCCTACTACCAGTGAAATGGTCTTATTGAGTCTTGTTGCACGAAGAAAATGAGATGTGTATTTTTTTTTCTTTTGAGAGAGAGAGAAACAGATGTAAGAGCAAAACATCCATTGGCTGTCTCCTGCATGCCCCCTACCTGAGATTGAGCTGCAACCTGGGCATGTGCTCTGGAATTGAACTGGCAACCTTTCAGCCTAAGCATCCCCACGGAAGTGGAGATGTCCAGGTAGTCTTCTGAGAACAGCAAGGAGACAGAGCAGTCTCAGGAGTGCGGAGGGTTCTGCTTGATGTGGCTGGGACGTGCTTCCATGAACACTGTACAGCGTAGTGGATGCCACACCGGCTGGGGCAACAAGTGTATTTCTGTAAAAAAATAAAAAAGATCCATTGTGTGTTACTATGTTGGGAGAGGATAGTTTAGAACTCTTGTTGAAGTAGAATATACCTGCATCCTGTACACTGGAGTGAGTTCTCCCAGGGTGCACACGTTCACATATGCACCTAGGTCGGGAGACAGAACATAACCAACATCCCAGAAGCACCCCCACCGGGGTTCCTCTCCCAGACACCACACTCCCAAGTGTAACCTGTCTGCCCAAGCACTGCTGTCAGGTTCAGCTGTTTTCACACCTAGATGCTGTGATGACGAACATACACTGTAACACCTGAGAGGTGAAATAGCTGTTATCCTACCTGGATCCGAGGGAGCCTGTGTTCTGATATGAAGGCAGGATTCCTGGGGGTTAGATAGAGAGAAGAGTTTAATGGCACAGGTAAATGAAAATGGTCACAATGAAAGCAAGTTCCATGTGTTGTCAAACGGGAAGAAAGTAGCAGAAACATCCCAGGTGCAGAAAATAAAGCTTGCGGTTGCTAATTTGTTAATTCAAGAGAAACGTCCGAAGTCAAAGGCTGTTGGCATTTTGCATTGGCATGGTTCTAACTAAATCGCCTCTTCTCCAGGGGAGGGAAGGCAGTGGTTTTCATGGGAGTTTTGTTTTGTTGTTGAGGAGTGTGGGTGTCTGTCGCATGCATGGACAGTCTGAGCAAAGGCTTTGTGCTGGGAGAAGCAGCCTCTGCCCCCCGCCCCAACAGTTCATATATTGGTTGGAGGGAGAATTTTAAAAATCAGCAGGGCAAGGAGAAGCCCTCGGAGGAGAAGGGCTTAACTGAGTCTTGACAAATTGGTTGAGAGAAAGAGAAGAAGCAGGCATTCAAGATAGAAGGAACAGCCTGGCTGGTGTGGCTCAGTGGTTGAGTGTCAACCCATGCACTGAGAGGTTGCCAGTTCGATTCCTGGTCAGGGCGCATGCCCAGGTTGTGGGCCCGATCCCCAGCAGGGACATGCAGGAGGCGGCCGGTTGATATTCTCTCTCATCGATGTTTCTATCTCTCTCTCCCTCTCCCTTCCTCCCTTTCTAAAAGGAAAAAAAAAAAAAAGATAGAAGGAACAGCCTAAGCATCCCCACGGAAGTGGAGGTGTCCAGGTAGTCTTCTGAGGACAGCAAGGAGACAGAGCAGTCTCAGGAGTGCGGAGGGTTCTGCTTGATGTGGCTGGGACATGCTTCCACGAACCCTGTACAGCGTAGTGGATTCAAGCCCCAGTTCCACAGGGCACACACCTGGGGCTGGGTTTGTCGCTGACTGTGTTGACCCTGGCAGATGACTGGACCTCAGCTAGCCTCAGCAGTGAGAACTCCCTCATGGCGTTGGCATGAGAATGAAATCACCGGAGATACCACACTCACAGCATGCAGCACAGAACCTCGCACTTACCAAGGCCTGAATAAAACATTAGCTGTCCTCCTCACCTGCGGGCACCTGTGTGAACTCTGCGTTTACGCTTGGGCCGTTTTCAACGTTCTCACACCACACTTTTCTGTTTCTTCAAGCTCAGGGTTTGTCAAACTTCTTAAAGGGCCAGTTGGTAAATGTTTTCAGCCATATCGGTTCTGCCCTTGCAGCTGAAGGCAGCCATAGGCAGCCCATACTTGTCTGCAGGTGGCTGTGTTCCAGTAACCCTTTGTTCCCGGTAGTCAGACCACGGTTCTCCAAGCCTCCCATCTTGAGCAATTGGCTTCTCAACCCGACACCCCTGTCGTGCTGATACCTGTGTGATCAGTCACGCGCCTCTCGGGACGAGCAAAGGAGAGTGTGCGAGGATCAGTCAGCTGACCGCTGTTAACATCTCAGGAAATTGTGCTGTGAATAGTTTCGTGTTTTTTAGCTTTTGTTTCTGCTTATTATTATTAAATTTTCAAATTTTACCGTACATTTCATTTTCTTCATTTACATTCCATTATTATTAAATTTTCAAATTTTACCGTACATTTCATTTTCTTCATTTACATTCCATTTCCTTTTGGTTTTTAAAGTGTTTATTTATAGATCGAACAGTACATTAGACATGTACTGTATATAAGAAAGGTTAAAACGGAATCATTTGGGAGTTTGGAATGGATTAATTCAATTTACATTATTTCTTTTTTTTTTAAATGTAAGCAATTTAAATTTTTTTTTTTAT